GTGTTATACTTGGAGCCTATAATGGTGGATTAGGGATAACGTTGAGATGCCTGTGGAAGATAGAGACGGAAAAGGAATTACGCTAAATGAGAGCCAAGTTGACCGTACGTAGTTAAGATGGCTCTGGGAGTAATGTGCGACGACAACAAAGGGCGGGTTTGGAATATAATGAATGGTGATCATTTTGTAACTTTTAATAGTTAAGGGACCTAAAAACAAATTTTATAATTAAAAGAATATTTTATAACTTTTAATAATTGAGGGTTTAATAAAGTAATCTTCTATAGTCATCTGACCATTTATATATTTTACTCTTTTATAGGTAAACAATTTTATCAAATAAGATTATTGAGTGATTGCGAACTTTTGATATCGTCTTGATTGTATTTTGATTAATAAAATTTTAATATAAATAATTTAATATTAAATAAATTATATGAGATCAATATTTATAATAAAACCGTAAATTCCACGTTGGATAACAAAAACAGAAATCGCCAGCACATGAAATATCTTATTTTCATCACATTCATGAAGTTTCAACTTTATGAATATGGATTCAATAAATGCTTGTGTATTGACAGCCATGGAATTTGTTATAGTACAGCAGTACGAATGGATAATGTTTTGTATGTCCCTCAACCAAAATCCACTATGGATAAGTCCTTGCCCAACTATCTTTGCAGTTGGAGTTTGGTCTACCTAAAACCTTTAATTTCAATTTACGTACAATTACAAATATACGATGTTTAATCTTTAGTATATATTTGCGTTGATTGAGGGAGTTTGTTCCACCTAACACCTTTAATTTCAATTTACGTACAATTACAAATATACAATGTTTAATTTTTAGTATATTTTTAAAATATTAATATGTTGTATTCACATGTTTACATTGCACGAATGAAGTACAGGTCCGGACTGTAGCTTGCAATGCCTAAAAGCTGAAAGTGGCGATAACTACGAAGTGGAGGAGAAATTAATGTTGCCAAATCCGCAATCCTGTAAAAAATATCTTGGATTCACCTGTGGTGATGTAGACTATGACTAAATGTACCGATGTGGTTGTCGTTGTCTCGTTGAAATGCAATTTTCGATATGGTTTATATTCACGTGGTCACCGTAAGAACAACGGTTGTCGATAATGTTAAAGAAAAATTGAAAAGGTGGCACTGTCACTCTTGTCACTTTTGATTGGTTACAGTGTAATCTTGTCACTTTTGCAGGAATAAGAACCGAAGATTGGCACTGGAGGCACTTGTTTGGCATCATCATATGGAAGCTTTGGAAAAACAGAAATGACTTTGTTTTCAATCGGAAAGTCTGGGTAGTAATGAAAACGATTTAAGCAGGAAAAACTTTGGCGGGCATCCTTATGCAAGCGGGTCAAAACAATAAGATGACTAACACATGCAGAAGACGAGTTATTGGCAGCCCCCTCGGCATGGCTTCTTCAAACTCAACACGGATGGAAGAGTTCGTCCGGGTAGAATGAGGGCGTCGAGTGGCGGGGTCATCCGGAGTGAAAGCGGAAACTGGATCACCGGCTAACACTAGAAACATCGGCTACACAACTATCCTGTAGGCCGAACTATAGCCGATCCTGGATGATCTCCAAGTTGCGTGCATGGGATCGGGGCATCCGAAAGCTGGAAATTGAAACAGATAACAAGACGGTCTTCCGGATTCTTCATTCCAATGTTGGTTCTAACGGGCATGCTATTGTTAGGAGAATAAGGCACTACGTGGATCAACAATGGCAGCTGGTGTTCAAACACGTCCCCCGATTAGCCAACAGTGTTGCTGACAGCATGACAAAATTTGGTCGTGAGTCGTAGTATTTCCCACTATTAGCTTAGTGTTTCCTTTTATTACAAAAAAAAACATTAATATATATTAAAATTTTAAATTAGCCGTATTAATTAACAAAGATACAAATATTTTTACGCATGTAAGTATTTTTTTAATGAGTATTTTTAATCATTATTAATTTATTTGATAGTCTTTCAAGATTTTACATTAATTAATTTGAACTTATTTATGTTGCACATTTAATTTTAGTGGGTGAGTCACCCAACAAGAATTTTTTGCGCGTACAATGGTTTGAATTCGAGACCTTACTTAAGCGATATCAACAAGTTGAACAAATCCTGTTGGTTAATTACTATTAATTTAAATAGATAAAATATTAACTTTTTTAAACAATACAAATATTTAATAATTGAATTTTAGTATTGTGAATGAAGTAATTTGATTTGGGACTAGTCACCCTTATAATAATTTTGTATAATATTTGACTTAGATGGATTCGGTGGTAAAATAGAATATTGATCTCCCTATAGGTTCCGGGTTTGAGTAGCGGATCGTTTGTAGGATGTGTGTTGTCAATAGATTAAGAGAATTTTGAACATATGCATAGTATCTTATAATATTCTTAAACTATTTTTTTTTAAAATCTAATCATTTAATAAAATATATGTTATATAATTATATCAATTTTTAAAAATATATATAATTTTACAAATTTTTACGTGAAAATATTTTTTAAATAATTTTAACTTTTGATTTTGATTTTCATTCTCTTTTCATTTAATTTCAAAATTGATTTATTGATTGAGTTAAATTCAATAGATAAACTGTTAATATAATATATAAAATGACGTAAAAAACATTTAATATTTTTCATTTTGTAAGTAAAAAGATAATTAAGCAATATACATAATATTATATCAAACAGATAAAATAAAAAAACATATCATTCGATGTACAAATATAAGCATCTTGAAATCTCATCGTTTGAAGGTCAAAGCATATAGGATTTTGCGTGCAATTAACGCATGAAAAGACAGGACTCATCCTCAAAAAACATCGAAAAGGAAATAAAATACCAAATTATAAACAAGCTTGTTTTTGCCCCTTCTCAAGGAATTTTTGTTCATTGATGATTATTTGACCCTTATTTCATCGTATTATATAAAAGTCACATCCAATGATCATTTTAAATGAGAAAATGATTACCGTAGTTGGAAAAATTATTTGATGAATCTAGTCGGTCTGTCATTTGTGATTTTAATAAATGAGAATCTTAAATTTTAAAATATTTTTTTAAATAATTACCGTTTCTTCTTTACACGTAGAAAAAAGATGAATTTCGAATGACATAATAAATTAAAACCATGTAATAATTTTTCCGGTAGTTGGGCCGTTCATTTTTACATGAAATGATTTGTTAAATTTAGGTTTGTCATTGGTTACCGACTTGTCTTACGCTCCAAGCGTCACCGCTTACCAATCCGACTCCCAGTGATTTGTACATTGTCGTTTGCTTTTTGGGTGTTGGGTGTTGGATCGCTCAACTTGTTATTGTTGGCTTGTTCCTGTCTTCAATCTGGGCTTAAACCTAATAACATTACCTGCCGTCTTTCCCTTCAAAATATATTTCAACTGTGTCTGAATTGCTATTATATAATGGAGTAATAAATTTTGGGGTAAATTATGTGTTTAGCACCCAAACTATTAGTTTAGGTCACCTAAACTTTCAATATTTTTCAAAATCATACCTAAAGTGTAATTTTTGTTTCATTTTATAGTACCATGCCGTTAAAAATTTTAGTTTTGTTTCATCTTAATATCCGTTCAAAAATTAATGTTAGGTTTTGAAAAATTTGAAAGTTTAGGTATTAAAACGGATCAAAAACTGATAGTTTATGTACTAAACACGTTAATTTTTTAACGGGTGGGATACTAAAATGAAATAAAAATTAAACGTTAGGTATGATTTTGAAAAATCGAAACTTTAGGTACTAAACGGATAAAAACTGATAGTTTAGATGCTAAATGTATAGTTTACCCTATATTTGTTGGTTTTTCTTTAATGAGATTTTGTATAAGGAGTTACTAATTTCAATTTATCTTTAAATATAATTAATATGGTTGGTTGACCCTTGTTCCCATATGTAATGGGGTAAGATGGAGGTAAGATAGTAGGCTGCCCCCAACACCAGGTTGAGAGTAGCTTCCATAGAAGACCTCCGAATTATGAAATGCCCTCCGTGGGACTCGATCCCATGACCTCAAGATTAAGAACCTTGTGCTCTACCAACTGAGCTGGATGGTCATCTCTTTTAAATATAATTAATATGAATAATGCAAATAAGTTAAGAATATTTCAGAAAATAAACTTGAAAATTATAAAGTGCAGATAATTATTGTTTTATATTTTTTACTCTATTACTTTTATAAAATAATAGTTTCATCTCCATATTTTGTACACCATAAGTATTTCTTTCTGTAAATTTCCATCAAATCAGATAATATTATTTTAAATATTCTAAAATCTTTTCCCTGGTGGCGAAAATTGTACCATTCAAATGTTGCTGGGTGACGAAAAGGAAAGATCCACTTTTCAACTTGAATGGAATAATCACCTTCCACTCTCAAGTGTACTCGACATGGACTTTGAGGTAAAGGTTCAGATGGTGGAATTTTGGATTGTGATTTGACGCTTTATTTTCCCTTTTTTGGCCCAATAGGGCAGTCCCTTTTTTTTCAATTTTATTTTGAGATTTACTATATTAATATTTTAATATATAATTAATAAATTTTATTTAATTTTAAATTATTAAAAGTAATAAATTATTTTTTAAGGAGGTTAGTATTAACTTATTAAAATAAATTGTAAACGTGGAGCCATGATAAGAGTAAAATTATAATTTGTTTCAAAACGTAAAGTTGAAAATGAAAAAAAAAAACTAAAAATCTTAGTTTTTGAGGTTGGTTTGAAACCATTGTTTCTACCGTGATTTCCCCTATTTTTCACTCGTTTGACATTGATTTTGCGGTCAAATCGAACATTTTAACTAAAAGTGTTTTTAAAATGCTTTACCAAACGCACCCTTAATATTTCTAGTTTAGCCTATCTAATGAAGAAGAAGATGAAACGCAATTCAAGTTTAATGAGTTACTACTTTCTTAGTTGTTATTGGTATGATATTTTCTTTGTCCTTGTAGTTTGAACCTGAGCGTATGAGCATCCAAATTGTCGCACGCATTTTTGGTTAAGGTATGTTTTGTTCTTGTTTATTCCAAATTAGAACAATTTATCAGCATATTATCAGGCTAGGAACTGTCATTTCTAATGCTTTCTTTTCCTCCTTCCCTCCTGCTTTTCTGCAGGCGCTCATGGCAATGCCAGCTCCAGATTTCAGCCTTCGTCTCTTTTTGATCCCAGAGCGAGTTGTATTATTCTCGTTGTAGATATTTCCTTTCTGATTTCCATTTTACATTTATACATCAACATTTAAGCATGTTTAATGGGTGTTGGCATACACAATTTCTCTTGGCTTTGGAGTTAACCAAGCTTAGTTGATCATTTTAAACAGTAACAATCTGGACTTCCAAGAGATCAATGACTACATTTTAATAATATAACTGTAATCATGGGGAAATGAGAAATTAAATAATTCTTGTTATCCAGAAAATTATGCACAATTCATTAGTCATTGATTCATTGCTGTAAATTTGAATATGCGTACTCTTTGTTAAACTTGGAAAATTTTCTGCCTATGACTGCTAGAAGTGTCTAAATCTTGCATATTGAGTTATTTGTATCTGAAGTCATAATAAGTTGTATTTTCATACGAATTTATAGACCATTAATGTACATGTGAGAACTATTTAGGGAAGTACACATTTGTCAAAGTCATGATCATTGTAAAGTCTAAAATTCTACCTTTTTCTGTTTTATCATTCCATCTTTAGCTGAAAATATTTTCCTTGAATTTACGTTTTTGTGTGTTATATCAGCAAATGGAGGAGCAGTTCAAGACACTGATTGTTCTCTCCCATTATCTGGAGGTATGCATTTTTCCTTGCTCGGTAATCTATTAACAGTGATATGATGGATGATTTCATCGTACATATCTCATTTGTAGACAGGAAGATTTCGTCAGTTCTGGGATGAAGCCACTAAAAGTCGTCATATAGTTGAAGCTGTGCCAGGTAATGAACTGTGATGATTCGCATTTTTTTATTTCTATCCATAAAACATGCATCAACCTATGAAAAGGGCACTGCTGGTCTTCAAGGAACGATCAATCTGGATGTCAAGTTGGCCTTCTTTAACTGCTTGCTCCTATATTTTGTGTGCGGCTTACTAGAGTATCGAATGCAGGATTCGAGCAAGCAATCCAGACATATGCTATCCATGTCCTCTCCCTGACTTATCAGAAGATTCCAAGACCTGTACTTGCTGGGGTATGTGATATGCATTTGTATTGTGATTTTTGAGACAATCTCTTATGCGTGATACATCGAACTTACGCTCTGGTTCGGGTGCTCGACAGGCTATTAACATTGATGGCCTATCCTTGGACAAATTCCTTGAACACCAGTCAGCCAACAGTGGTTGGATTCTTGAGAAGGGCCACGGCAGAGGTCAACTGATAGTCTTACCTCGGAATGAATTTAATCATCCCGAGCTGAAGAAAATTGCTGCTGATACTGTTCCATTGGAGCACATCACCCGTATTTTCCCCATTCTTGGTTAACCTCTCTTGAGTAGGAGCGAAAGACCATTTTGGAGTTATTTCCCCCATGTTTTCATGACATTGCCAGTAGATATTTTATTAAATATAAAGCTGATTATTTTATTATCTTTGGATATAATGGTTTCATGACATTGCCGGTGGAATTACTCTTTTTATTGGTTTACGAAGCTTTTCGTATTGATGCTCTCTTTTTTTCCAGTCAGCGTATCAATGGATAATGAAACCTCAAACTGTTAAGAAGACGAATGAAATGTTTCTACCCGGTCGAATGGCGTTTATTTTTAACATGGTGAGAATCTTGGACATGCCCTCTCTGGTCGTATTATTTAAAGGGGGATACTATGGGTACTTCTCCATGCATGCAATTTGAGCACTTAGTCGTGTAAGTGGTCCATGTTTGAGGATATACCCACACATTATCATATGCTGGAAATGGTGGCCATGGGAAGGCATGTTTACCTGTGTAGCGTTTTGCCTTTTCCCTTGTCACAACTGTTGCACACTAACATTGTTTTGGTTCTTAGGTGGTTCAGTTTCTGCTTAAAACTTTTTCTTTTTGAAAAGATAATATCACTTAGGGCTTCATTGAAAAACCTCCCTAATTTTAAACGGAGAAAAAAGAGTACCAACAACTTCCAAGGACTAGCATAACCGTCCGATACATGGCCTATAATCAAAGCAACAGCTAAAACCACAAACAGAAACACAACAACCAAAAACCAACACAAAAGCACTATCCTGGTTGTAGATCTGATGTCAATTTTGCCAATTGACCTGCTGCCGAATTACAGCTCCTAGGGACGTGCTTCACCACGAAATTTTCTCTAGCAATCAACTCAATAATCGGCCAAAGGTCCTCCCCATTCAATAGGAATCGACGAAGGCATTTTCAACCAACTTACTACTACTTCACAATCGCATTCAAGGACAAGATCAGTAGATTTATACCAATTTGAACCAATGAAAAACTTAATTGCATAATCCAGGACCAGAATTTCGGCCTGCACCGATGAAACTCCCTCAATTGGGATCGAGAAAGAAGCTAAAACTGATCTGCTAGAATCTCTAAGAATCCCGCCTATTCCTCCTCTCCCCAATGCAAGTAGAAAAGATTCCTCGCCACATCCATGAGGCTCCGCGAGGATGCCGGGGGGGGGGGGAGGATAGCCTCTCTAGAGAGGTTATATTTCGCGATAGCCACCTGTTTCCAATGACTATAAGGTTCATCATAATATCTCCAGCACCATTTTCCAAGAAGACCAAAAATTTTCTGCTTAAGATCCACAAAACCAAGACCTCCAACATTCACCGGCTTACATACTTCCGCCCAATTCAGTCAATGAATGGACTTTTTTTCCTTGAATTCCACCCCTCAAAAAATTAGAGAACAACCCATTGAGTTTCTTATACACAGACATTGGCAGCTTGAATAGAGACAAAAAAATAAGTAGGGAGGTTAAACAAAACAGATTTGATCAAAGCAATTCTGCCTCCAAAAGAAAGAGATACAGATTTCTACCCGGCAAGCCTATTTTCGACTTTAACAATCACCAGATCCCACAACCTAGCAGAATTCTGACCTGCCCCAAGAGGCATGCCCAAGTATACAGCGTGGAAATTTCCAGCAGCACATCCAATTATCTTTGCCCATTCCAAAACCTTGCCCTCTTCAATATTTACACCAAACAACATACATTTCTTCAGATTCAACTCAAGACCCGAAGCTAATTCAAAAAATTTGAGCACCCTTTTCACATTCTTGATTTGAATCTCAGAAGCACCGCAAAACATGATCAAATCGTCTGCATATTGAAGACGCGAAATCGTCTGCTTAAAACATGTTAGAGATAGAGAGAGGTTATTCTGAAATTCTCATAAGAAACCAACAAAAACTTAACTCAGAATTAGAATTCAATTAATTTTGGGCCAATTTTTCCGTATAATCCCAGGCTTTAATCAGCCTTACAAAGTAATATTTACCGTATAACTCAAATTAATTTTGAAGATAACTTAGTGGGTTAATTTTTTCACCCACTGATCTATTGCGTCAATTTTACCGTAGAATCCCAGGCTCCAATCAGCCCACCACCTGATCTAAGAGCCTAATTGTGATCTATAAGGGCCCAAATCAAATTCATGGGCTGGGCCTGAGAGTTTAGGATCTAAGCAGATCAAATTTTTTTGTTGACTTTAAGCAGATCAGACTTTCTAAATGCCTTGAGATTTTTCTTTCCATTTTATTTGATTTTAGGGTAAACTACAGAATTAGTCATTTTTGTTTGAATTTTATAATTTTTTCCTCATTGAAATAAAAACATAATATTTGGTCACTGAAGGTTAACGACCGTTAAATCTTTAACGGTTTGCTGACGAAGTAAAGTAAACATATAAAATTAAAATGACATCATTTCTGCTTAGATGATACATGGATTAAATTCTGGTCACTTTCTTTTTACATTTGTACACTTTTGCACACCAAATTTAAAAAAACTGGTCACTTACATTATTGTTTTATTAAGTTTTGGTCACTAATGTTATGATTTTATTCAGATTTGGTCACTTGAACGTTGAATGTCGTTAGTTTGATGACTTGACTCGTTAGTAAAATGATCTAATATTTATTTTAACCCCTAAATTTTTGACAAACTACTGATTTTCAAGAATAATGTAAGATTTTCAACTTTTGATAACAAATGATAACACCACGAGTTCAAAGAAAAATGATAGGGTAGGTATCTATAGATAAAATAAAGTCAGGTAATCTCAGTTATACAAACTAAAATTCAATTTTCAAAGATTGAGATTGCATAATGACAAATCCATCGAGGAATAAGAAGACAAATCAATAGATCTAAAATAACTCGAAAATCGAATATCATTCTTCGTGTTGATTTTCCCTCGAGAAAATGCATCCAATGAAACATAATCGATGGATCAAACAACATGATAGTTGGATTCGTGAATCTATCCACTGAAATCAATTTAAAATTCACGATCTTCAGCGTCGAATATTTGTTTTTGCTCAAGAATAAGCAATTTTCTGATTTTAGATCCCTATGAATAATGTTTGCTTTATGAATCACTATTAACCCATGCGACTTACGTGATTTGTCGTACCACCGCTATTACGTCGGCCTCCTAGTACCTCATTTCCGCAATGACCCGATTGAAAAACTCACAATCGAAGCAGAGCTCCAGTACTAAGTGAACTCGATTTGATATTCGTAAACGTCGTGGAGGTTAATCACGATCGGATACGACGAAACGTTCTCGACGATCTTTCGTATAACAAGGGTTTTGTTGGTCAACAACGCATCGGAGATGGAAATTCGATATTGTGTCATCAATAATGCCCCCATTTTGGAAACTCTAGTTTTCTCGATTCGAGACAATGAAATCACAAAGGTAGTGAATATTTTTAGAGTTTTAATAGTGAATTATTTACATTTTTCATGATTTTCATTACTTTTTTTTTATACATTTTCTTACAACTGATAACACACCTAATTTCAACTAATAATTATAAATAAAAAGGCTATTACAATGGAACATAGATGTATGAGGAAGAAGGTAGAAGATGTAATATTGAGGTTGGGGAAAAAATTAAAAAAATGGGTAAATTAAAATGTTGACCTTAAACTAATTTGAATTTACAAAAAAAACTCATAGTCAGTATTTTGTCTAATGCTTAGGGGTTAAAATAAAAATTAAATCATTTTTCTAACGGGTCACTTCATTAAACTAACGACATTCAACGTCTAAGTGACCAAAATTTAATAAAACGATAACGTAAGTGACTAAAACTTAATAAAACAATAACGTAAGTGATCAAAACTTACTTTTTTGAATTTGATGAGTAAAAGTGTACACATATGAAAGGAAAGTGACCAAAACTTAATCCACGTATTATCTAAGTGGAAATGATGTAATTTTAATTTTATATATTTATCGTGTCACGTCAATAAACCGTTAAAGATTTTATGTTCGTTAATCTTCACTAATCACATCTTAATTAAATTAAAATGAAAGTGATTAAATATTATGTTTTTTAAATTCAATGAATACAAATTTATAAAACTTTAAATAAAAGTGACCAATTCTGTAATTTATCCTCGATTTTATTCCAAGAGATTTCGTGCAATGGTTGTTCTTTTGTTTTCGTTCTTTCTATCTTCGAACGACTTCCACCGTAACTCCGTAAGTAAGACACGACACGAGAGAACTCGCTTTCCTGCTTCTTCTTCTTGTTATCATTAAGAATTGAAGCTTTTAGGCTTCGAAATAAGAATTCCGGTCGGATATCTAATCACATATACGAAAAAGGTACTAATTTTGTCCCAATTTCTATTTTTGTTTCCAGCATTCAATCGATAAATTATGATTGAAAATCAACGTCGCGAAACCCTAATCCGGAGAACTGTTTTTTTTTTGTTTTGTGAAAGATCTCTGTTTGAATTGTGTATAGTAAAAAGGAAAAAATGTTCCTTTTTTATTTTTTTTATGATAATTTCGTACTTAATTTGCCAAACTTGTAAATTTCTATTGTTTAGGGCTTTCAGCAGGTTGCTAAGTCGGGTATCAATTTTTGAATTGCTGTGAAATTGCTTGTTGAACTTTGGAATCTGCTTCCTGCTGGTTCGGTTGCATGGCTACCTTTGAGGACAGGGTTTCATTTTCGTCGTTTCCAAAGCTAGAAAACGGAAATAATAACACGTATCAATTTGATGACGATTATAGTGGCTCTGTTTGGACTGATCCACAAGACAAAAGTATTGTCCCATTTGGTTCAAAGTCGATGAAGAATGATTATGTTTATCAGTTTCCTGCTGAGTCCGATGATTTTATTGATGGAGGATACGATTCTGGTGATGATGTCCGTAGCTCAATGCAAAATGGCTTGTATCCAGAGGTGAACGTGAAGAATGTGTTGAATGGGTTATTTGCAATTGTAACTGGACGTAATAAAGGCTCCTCGAGTGTTTCTCTGAATCAACAATACCGAAGTTCTAATGTTTCATTTTTGGGGTCTGGAAAAAACGAGGATACATATTTGCACTCCTCTGTTTATATACCAAGTGCTCCGCCACTTTTGGGGGCAAGTGGGATAGATTATAGTGCATATAAAGAGGTTTTGGAAGCTGAGCCACCGGAGTGGATTCCTGATAGTGCTACCACAATTTGCATGCAGTGCAGTGATCCCTTCACTGCACTTACACGTGGCAGACATCATTGCAGGTTTTGTGGAGGGATTTTCTGCAGAGCATGCTCTAAAGGAAGGTGCTTGGTACCTGTTAAATTTAGGGAAAGAAATCCCCAGAGGGTGTGTGATTCTTGCTATGACAGGCTTGATCCATTGCAGGGTGTTCTTATCAACACCATTAGCAATGCTGCTCAAGTAGCTAAACATGATGTCATGGATTGGACCTGTACTCGTGGTTGGTTGAACTTGCCTGTTGGTTTGACCATGGAACATGAGATCTACAAAGCATCCAATACCTTAAGAAGCTATTGCCAGGTAAGATCCTAATTTTCATTGTTCATTCTAGACGATTGTTTTGTTTGTCCAGAACTCTCATCGACCTTGTAATTTCCTTACCTTGATATAATGTAATCCTTATTAGACAGATCTTGACTTGTTCATACTTGCCACCTAGATTAAGCTTTTATATGGGCACGGTTTGCATATTGAAATCATAAACAAGAAGACATTCCATTTCTTTATCTGGTTACTTCAGCTTAAAAAAGAAAGTTAAATTAATTTTTGTATATTGGAGCTACATAAAGACTATGTTTTGACACTGTCAGAAGCTTCTAGTAACAGTTGTTTAGTTGGACAGGTTGCTAGGCTGAATCCAGAGAGATCCATACCATTGGCAGTTCTGAAAGGAGCCAAAGGCTTAGCCATTTTAACTGTTGCTAAAGCTGGAGTTCTTGTTGCATACAAAGTTGGGACTGGTCTTGTTATTGCTCGAAGGCCAGATGGAACATGGTCTGCCCCATCAGCTTTGTTGTCTGCTGGTTTAGGATGGGGTGCTCAGGTAAACTTTTATTCAAGAAAAATATACCCCCTAGCTGAATATACACCTCTAGGCAGCTAAAAGATCATTTGCCTTCCAAGTTCCAAAGTATTTACATGCTTAATCTATTATCTACATGTTGCTTTTATGTGTTCCTTAGATTGGGGGTGAGCTCATGGATTTCATAATTGTGCTTCATGATTCAAAAGCTGTGAAGACGTTTTGTAGTCGAATGCATTTTTCTCTTGGTGCTGGCTGCAGTGCTGCTGCAGGACCTTTGGGGAGAGTGGTGGAAGCCGATCTTCGAGCAGGGGATAGTGGATCCGGCATGTGTTATACCTATAGTTGTAGCAAAGGTATTTCATCCTACAATGTAAATTATATTCTTCTTTTGCCTTCTTGATGGATTTGACCATCCATCCATTTTGTTGCGAACTTTGCAGGGGCATTTGTCGGTGTGTCATTAGAAGGAAACATCGTTGCAACAAGAATGGACGTCAACCTACGGTTCTATGGTGATCCGTATCTCACCACTGCGGACATATTACTTGGGACCGTGGACAGACCAAAGGCTGCTGAGCCCTTATATGCTGCTCTGCGTAATCTCTACTCCAGCCTACGGTGTTAGTTCCAACACCATTTGCCATTTGGTTCTGCAGCTCGTGAGACGTGCAACAATTCGAGTGCATTTCTCGCTATGGATGATCGGACTGTATAGTTTGTTTACGTACATGTGGATGGAGTGTTTATATCATGGACGAGTAACTTTTATGCTTCCCTTTTGTTCATTCTGCAAGCCAAATTTCGCATTGCGTCAAATATGTATCTATAGTTGTCGAGCAACCCGTTCAATTACCGTGAAAATAGTAGGGGTGTTCAAATTAATCCGTTACCGTTAACAATAAATATTAATTACTGTAACCGTTACATTTTATAGGTTAATTAATTGAATCGGTAAGATTAAACTGTTTCAATTAATCATTGAAAATATTGATTAACGGTTAAGGTTACGGTTAATAAATTTTTAATAAATTGTTAATCATCAGTTAACCATTTATAAATCATAATTAATTAATTATATTTTTTAAAGAATATAATTAGAAATAAAATTCAAACGGTTCCTCTTATTTTTTAGTTATCATGTTTATCTTATATAGGATCATATTAAATCAAACATAGATGAAATATTAAATCAAACATAGATGAAAGAAATATATGATTTTAAATTGCAAAATATAAATATACAAATAAGATTTTAAACAGAAAAAAATGATTATACCTCATAATATATATATGTTTTTACAAATATATATGTTAATATATATGTTTCCATCACTCCATCATTGTAAATAGGGATGGTCACGGGTAGGGTTTCGGTCAACCCGATCCGACTTAAAAAATATACACCCTCCACTTGAGTCGAATCCGACCTGAATTAGTATATTTATTAAAAATATATTATTTTTATTCAATAAAAATAGAAAATTAATTAAAAAATAATATAGAGAGGGGTGTTATTATAATTATCCCTAAATATATAAGGTAAAATTATATTTTTTCTTGTCGGATTGAGTATTTTTCACCCTAAATCCGAACCCGACCCAACCCAAACCTAAAAAACCCCGATCTGACCGGACCTAAACTCGAAATAATTTTTAAAACCGTTTTCTAATAATTAGGTTATAGTTAGCAAAATTTAAAAATCGTTATAACGGTTAACTGACCGTTAAACTAAACGATACAATTAACCGATTGTTTAGACTGAATAATATAATTAAGCAATCACGAACAGCCCGTAGTAAAGAGTCTTATTCCGACTCCATGAGCTTCCCCATAAACAATTAATGTACTCAACCCCACGACTTTAATCACAATTCTGATTGAAACATAACGTCAACAAGATAAAATTCTTCGAAGTTCATAAAGTCAAGTAGTAATAGATAAAATACTCTGTACTACCAGTAATAATAAAAGAATACAAATAGAGGACTCTCATAAGACACTATTATACGTATTCATAAATTCAATATATTTATGATTCTATCCAAATTAACGAGGCAATCGGAGAATCGTTTTCTGAAGTCGAAAACATCGCAGCTTTTATAGCGATTTGAAACGCCACTCCGGGGAAGAACCAATAGAATCCCTGGAAGAAAAGGAGAGCAAAAACCCTAAAGAAAAGCATGCGGGTTCAAATATCTCTCCGTTTGCATATAAATTCAAGAAACGCTACTTTTTTTTCCTTCATGGTGGCGAGCGTTCCCTCCATTGATGAAGGAACGTCAAGAATGAAGCGAAAAGGCAAAAGCAAAGGGATTGAGATCGTTGACCTCGAAAGCGATTCGTTTTGTTTTACACCCCTTAAAGACAACGGCAGCCCCAAAAGTAACTCGATCTCCGTTGCACAGTACAGTGAAGAAAGAGACCTACGACTTTCCGTCAAGATTTCCACCACGCCCTCGGTTAGTAACCTCATAGGCCTCGCAAACTACGATGATGATTTGTCCGTACTTGATTTCAAGCCCTCAAAGACTCCTTCACGTAAAAAGCGTAAAAAAGAGAAGAAACCCTTCAGCGATCACCCCATTACTGAACCTGGGGAGGTATCAAACTCCAAAGCTCACCAAGACCCAGCCTTTGTCTGCGAAATCTGTGTCGAACCCAAGCAAGCAAACGAATTGTTTAACATAAAAGGCTGCTCTCACGCTTACTGTACCGATTGCATGGTCAAATACGTAGCCTCCAGATTACAAGACAAGATTACGGGTATAAGTTGCCCCGCTGAGAAATGTGACGGTTTATTTGAACTAGAGTACTGTCACAATATACTTCCTAAATAAGTTTTTGATAGGTGGGGGGAATGCTTTATGCGAGGCCATGGTTCTAGGGTCTCAAAAGTTTTATTGTCCTTTCAAAGACTGTTCCATGCTTTTGATTGACGATGGAGGAGAGACTGTGAGGGACTGAGGGGTTCAGAATGCCCTAGTTGCAATAGATTCTTTTGTGCACAGTGTAAGGTTCCGTGGCATGCTGAGATTGACTGCGGGGAATTTCAAAAGTTGCATAAAGATGAAAGAGAAAGGGAAGATATTATGTTGATGAAGCTTGCTACAAAAAACAAGTGGGTTAGGTGCCCTACCTGTGGATTCGTTGTTTCGAGAACCCAGGGTTGTAAGTATAAGAGTTGCAGGTTAGATCTGTTTTCTTTTTCGTTTTTACAGTGGGTTAATCTATCAGTTTTGTGGCGTTTATTTGGTTTACGTTTCCATCTGCATGTCTTATGGTTCTGGGTTTGATTGCTACTGTTTGAACGAGGCATATTTTAACATGCATTCTATTTTAACAAGCATTCTTCATTGTTTTTAAGTTTGCTGACATCTAACCCTACGCCATGTTCATAGTTATCAGGAAATTTGCTCATAGCAAAAACTACTTTATCAGTCAGTTAAAAGCTTTTAAGCAAGCTTTAAGAGCTTTAGAAACTTACACTGTTCTGGTATCATATAGATTGCAAGCTTTAAGAAGTGAAATTTGGATATGGAAAACCTTTTGGATTCTGTTTTAAATCTTTCCTACATTTCAATAACTAGTGTTGTCTTGTTCTTGTTGTTTTTCTTTGTCTCGTCTTGTTCCTTCTGCTACATTTCAATAACAGGTGTGGAGCTGCTTTCTGCTACGGCTGTGGATCATCTCAAGTGGGTCATACTTCTTGTCGTTAACACAAATCTTAATATATGCATTTATACATGCTTCCTTCTGCAGAGAATTCTTTTTGTTATATATTTTGATCATGCAAAGACACATTTTTACATCTTCCTAAGGGTGATTTTTGTTTAGGGTAAATTACAATGAATTTTACTCTTTTTCTTATTTCATTTATTATACTTTTAATTTTTTTTAATTTAATCACTGAATTTTTATACATTGATATTTTTTTTTGTCAGTCTACCATTTTCTCATTGATAGGGTGAATTATTACCTGTCAAGTAGGATTTATAATTTAATAAAATAAAATATTAGATGGCATGGCATTTTTTGTTATCTTTTGACTTGTTGACCGGGTTCTTTCATTCCTTCCCTATCATGGAAGTAGAACAAGCCCTGCTCCTCTTCTTTTTAATGGTTTTCGGAAGAAAGGACAGCAAAAACTTAAATTCTTGAACTATTAGTATTTGGGACATGTTTAAGTATAACAAATCATGGTATGAGAGGATTAATTAATTTATTTTTTTTATTAGAAAATTGGAAAGTCCGGAGAAACCAAAAACGAGATTGTTTAAAGATTATTCATTGAACACTGTCTTGCATGTTGCATCCACAAAATGACAGTATCAGCTCTCACCAGGGATGGACCAAGGGGTGCGATCCCACCCTTTAGAGTTTTCGAATTAATTCTATAATATTTTAGATTTTATTTTTGTATTTTCTATTGATTATCTAATTTCGCACCCTTAAAATTTTATAAATTCACACCTTCTAAATTTTTTAGTATAACTTCCTATGTTCGCACCCCGACATAAATTTCTGGGTCCGTCACTGGCTCTCGATTAATCCCTCTCAACTTTTTTAATCTCGTTCATATCGTATCTAATATTAGTAAAGTCTAAAGATTTGCAAGAAAACAAATTGAACCCCAAGAGCATTCTGCAACTCAAGTTTTCTCCTTGATTAGTAACAACAACAAGGCACATTGTGGTCAAGTCCGGTTATTACATAATGGAATCATTAAGTGACAGCAGGGAAGAACTACGCTATCTGTATCATCTTTTGCTCGTGTTTCCTTTTACTTCAGGGGACAACCATGTGAAGCAGTGCCCTCACAAATTGTTGATCTTAGGTTGAGGACAGAAAATGGAGAGAAATGGGATGAGGAGAAAGAAGAAAAAAAAGGAAAAGAGAGATAAATGAAGGGGAAAAAAGGAAATGTAGTTTTTTTTTATTTAGACTAAAATCACGACATTCTTATCTAAATTTGATATATTTAGAGATCCAAAACAACATCATTTTGGTATAAGTAGTTATGTTATAACGTTGTTGATTATTTAATGGCTGAGTAACATAAATTTTTTATATAAAAACAATAATTTTTTCAATAAAAACATGTAAACATTGAAAGAATCTATGGCTTTTTATAAATAACTAAATATTAGAGCGGACTATAGATTTGGACCGATTTATAAGTAATTTTATGTGTTATTGTTATGGTCACGCCATGCCATTCTTCTATTTTTTCTGTTCTGTCTATCCACTCCTTCCTATTTAATCTAGTATTTTTCCTATTTTCTTAGGGGGGGAAATCTGAAGAGCACAAAGGCGTTACGCCCGGCGCCTAAAGTCCGTAGGCACGCACCTCCAGTAAATCACCTCACCCCAACCTAGGCGGGCGCTACCTTCATTGTCCGGATGCACCTCGCACCTAGACACACCTTTTAAAACCCAGCTCGTAACAGCACGAATAAATATTTGTTACTAGTACAAACTCAGTAGCATTGGAATATCGAAATAAGTGTCGCACTTTTGTTATCGTCTCCCTCAGTCGTAGTTTATCAGTTGAACTGAACATATCCCGTCATTTTTCTGCTTTCTCAACAACATATTTGATGGCTGAAGCTTTCTTTTTGAACTTATAAAAACGTGGTTTTATAAAATAGATCAAAAGTTTATCATATGTACAAGGTCTTTATCAACATAAATTCGGGCAAAGCGAACAGATAAATTGATCTGATTGGGATCCATATAGTAATGAGTCGAAAACATTTGAATATGCTAAAGATTGAAGTAATTAATTGATGAGAAATCATTCTACCAAGCGCCAATAAACAATCATCGAATGGAAGATCTTCCCAATGCACCAAAACGCAACCTACTAGTGAATAGTAGGGGAAAACTAGCTCATTAATGTGAATTGAACAAAATACGAATATATTCTACACTTACTCTTCTTCATCTCTGTTTTGCAGAATACAAAATGTGGGTCAATGGCATTTATCTATATATGGGAACAACAATGGAGGTGTAAATACAATACAATAATTACATCCTAATATTGGGGAGTGGGCAAAAGCCAAAAAAGAAATATTGAAATTAAAACTAAATGAGCCCATAATTCTATGGTGGTAGGGAATCTAAAGCGAGTCAATAACCATTCACAGTTTTGTGGGGTTTCTTCTTGAAATTTGAGATGCTACAGTGTGGACAAACATACTCCAGCCCATCTGTTTTTGCATAATCCTGTCGTTTAGAAGATGGAGTTAATTGAAATCCTACCAAGGCAACAGAATCTACTCAAAAGATGACACTGACACTAGTATTATACAATTTGTCTCATAATCAGTGCTTCAGCACATATCAAACATACATTTAGTTGCAGCAGTTATAGGCCGCTTCTGCTGATCTCATTCAAAATCATACAAGGTATAGTTTAGGCTACTCTGTTGGTGGTTCTCTTTATAAATTTGTTTAGCCTATAATCACTTTAAAAGAAAGTTCTGAGAAGGTACCTTAAAGGCTCCAAGACCCTGCCGCCTATCACAGCCAAAGTGTGCCCACTCGCCACAAATTCCACAGTTTACCCAGTCACCTGCTGCGCTACTGTTGCCACAAAAGCTCTCCAAAGTCAGTATTTCAAACTCAAGAGTGATCATGTAATGTGCTCGTGCACATGCACATGTGTGTGTGTGTGTGTGTGTGAGTGAGAGAGAGAGAGAGAGAGAGAGAGAGAGACCTGTGACACAACAAGCAGCATTCTCCATCGACATCATCATGAGCCAATTCGTACTCTAAAAGGTAAGTTTCATAGTGTCTTTTCAGAGTGTTGCCCACTCCCTAGGTAATTAACGGAATAAGACCCAATAAGTCGTACAGACAATAGAAAAGTTCTACGACGACAAGCTAAAAGTCTAAAACTCAATAGAAAGAACCAAGATATGAAAAAGACAGAGTGGAAAACATGAAATGTCATTTAAAGAACTTGAGATAAAAAATATAACAGTTGAAACAACACAGGATTTATCATTTTTAGTGAAGCTCTACAAAAACTGCAAACTATATCAATAAAAATATTTTTCAGAAAGGGAAACAACAAGGCTGACAACTCGAAAACATACAGTCATTCTATTTGTCAATGTGTGGTTTCGCATCTTCGAAAAAACTTGTCCCTTCCAGTTGATGCCATTCCCTACATGAAAGCCTCCTCTTGAGACCACCTGTAAGAAATATCTTTCAATACAACTTTTTTACCAGATTCCCAATCATATTTACAACAAAGAATGGTTTACCTCTCTATACAAGTTAAAAAGGTCAAGACGCTTTGCATTCAGAATGGCATCAGGAAACTCAGCTAACCCACCATGAGGAACAAGACGAGTATGTCCCCGAAGAATCAAAAATTGCATCAAGTCTCTCAAAAATTCTTCCTGCGAGAAAACAAACCAACAGGCATAAAAAGGATATATTAGACGAATATACTCACAAAGATACTAAATCATGCAAGTTTCACTATTACTTCTCTTGTCGCATTGTGAGATTCGCCCAAACCTTTGTCATTGTTCATGGCGAGGAAAAGCAGATCAACAAAGTATAACAGAGAAAACAAACCACAATTTTTTTTAAAATATTTCAATCTCTCATAAACATAAATGATTCGCACATTCAAATAACATAAAGAAGGTTGAATATAAGGAAAAATAGATGTACGACTTTCCCCGTCTTCAGCAGGAACTTGAGAAAGAACCCATCAAATTTTATTACAAGGGAAGGGATAAAAGGAAACATTGGAAATAAAAATAAGAAGGTTATTCTGACAACACATTTTCTATGAAAGCTTCATTATCACAGTGCTAATTCATCTCTATACCTGAGCATGCAATAATAGACAATAACATCAGACAAGCAATATCAGCTAGAGTGGAAAAAAACCAGTAGAGTTCAAGAAAAATATCCATAAAGGCATATGCGTCTGAGCATAGATCACAATCTTGCACTACAGTACGTAAATGAAACAAAAATATGGAAGCCATATCAACAAATTCTTAAACTCAGAGAAGATGACTAACCTCAGAGCAAAACTGTATTGGTGCTCGATCACAACCATGTTTCTTAAGAGGTAATGGATTTAAAGAAATCATCTGCTGAGCCTGATAAGAATTCGACGATGCTTTCCGATGTGTAATAGGAGCAGGCTGCTTCACAGGCACGACTGGCAAGTTAACCTTTCCTTGGTCACCATCATATCTCCCAGCCTCAGAAAATCCAGAAAAGGGAAGCATTTTATGACCATGGGTATGAGGAATTGGCCTCATAGCAGCAACATTTGGTTTCGGTCTTGCATTACCATTTACACCTTCCATCATAATACAGTTTAGAGGTTTAGTGTCCCTTATTGACTCTGATCTTTTACGACAAGGTGCTGGAGGCACCAACCAGATGGGAGATCTGGTAATTATAGAACCATCCCAGAGGGGATCTTTTTCCTGACTCGCAGAAAAGAAAAGCAGGCGTTCTGCATCATCTTTTTCAAAAGAAGCAACCGACAACCCTTGAACGCTAGCAATTCCCAGCATAACTAAGCTTCGGTAGGATACATCTGGTGCAAGTTGCCTAAAAACCTGTTAAGCCATTCCCAGAAACAGATCATGGTTACAAAAATTTAAGTCAAGCTAAGTCAAAAAAAAATTACCATAATAAAAAAGGCTTCATAACATAAGTATTTCTCAAAACATAATTCAGTAAAAGTTTCTCCTTCAAATTTTTATCAATACCTCTAATGGAGTTTGGTAAAAAGAACAAACAAGAGTTTACAGAAGCACCCATAACATATAATAAAAAAAAATTAATATTACAGCAAGAAAAAGAGGGTTAAGGATAAAAATTAGACCTGTGAAGCCCATGAGGGAACCTTCAAGCACACTTCAAACACACTTGCACCACAGGCAATTGAGGTTGATCTGCGAGGCTCAGATGAAGACATTTTGCTTCCATCAGAGCTTGACTGTGCATGGACTAGCTGACTATTCTCTATAAGCTCATTTTTTATATGATTTTCCAACAGCTGAGACAGCAAAATAAGGAACAAGAAAACAAGACTGTTAAGTGTGAACTTAAAGACATAACAATAGCAATTAACCTGATCAGAATTACTTGCCTGATCATTAAAACAAGTCTGTGCACTGCCAGAAGCTAAAAGTGATATGTGAGCTGAACTACTGGTTGAGAAATCACAACGCATAGTCATTACACCACGAGAAAATGTCCCAGCCTGAAGTGGTGGTGGTGGAGCACTATAAAAATAGATGCCATTAGTATGTTGATGATAATCAAACAAAAGGAGCTTTGATGTAGCAGTAGGTGGGGAATGGGAAGTCCATAAAAGAAAAGATCAAGGGCACAAACACTAAACCTCAAAACCTGAACAAAGCCAAAAAAAATTAACCTCCCAAAAGAAACTTTAATTAAGCTCAAAGTTATTGATACCTCGCATGGTTATGGAGTTTGCTCCCACGTATCTGAAACAATAGCCTTCTAGTTAATAAGAGGTTAAAAACGGATTAAAAGTATTAGCACAGATAATTCTCACACACCCACACCCACAACACACGACAATTGTATAATCATTAGAATATATGGTGATGCTTTCCCATGTGAACATGAACATCAAACAATTGAATAGATGTCTGCATTTTCATGCCATAAGGCCCTATTATAGCAAAGCCACAGTATGTGGAGAAATTATTTGATGGACCCGACTCACCACGTCATTCATGGTCCCAACCAAAAAAAAATTATCCATTTCAAAATAACTTTCAAATAACTACCCACTCCTTATTTACATGTAGGAAAGAGGAGAAGATTCACCTTGGGAAAAAAATGAGATGGATGGATTTTATTGGTTGGGACCACGGATAATGTGGTGAACCGGATCCATCTAATATTTTTTCCTGTATGTGCAACCATATCCAACTCAATTCGAGGGCTGGCACAGAATAATATTGATCTCATTAATAAATTTTTGTAATGCCATTTTGATTATCAAGGTGATGACGATATCTGAACCCTTGATAAGCGTGTCAGTACTCTTTTTTCAGCTAGCTGATCTTTTCAAGCAAAAGTGAATTTTGCAATGGAGAACTCATAATGCCTTTTAAGACTGAATGGTTAACTAAATTCTAATAAAACTATAATTTGGAACATTTAGGATGAGACAATGGAGATGTGAAACTGTTAAAAAATAGAAGGAATATAAGATCTTGTGCTGTCCTGTATTTGGCATTAAAACTCACCAAGTGACTAACCAAATCTAGATGCAGCAATAACTAGTTTAATCTCTCATATTCTGACGTTCAAAAGATGATAGTGGAAATAAACATATAAGCTGAAATAGGTAAACTAAAGATATACATCCAAGGAGGAAAAAAAAGCACTTCTACGAACTTACTTCTATGCTCAAGAGGGCATTAAGTCCATCTTCCAAAGATCCCAATAGGGACGCATCCTGCAGGGCATACAGTAATAACCAATATAAAAGGATGAACAAAATATTAGTATATATGATTATTTTTTGAACAAAGGAAAACTTAACCTACCAATAGGCGTGGTGATCCACAAACAAGAAACCTCATATTAACATGTTCATCGTATATCTTTATGGCATGAAGATTTTCGAGAGAGCCATCTTCCTCCTGCATATCGACTTCTGGTTGAGAAACATCAATCTTGGGAGGGTCACCAAGCAAACATGGTCCTGGCTTAACACTTCGTTTCTGACTATCAGAGGAGGCAATATTGTTGTTCCATAGACAGTACAGTCTAAAAGAAGCATGGGCAAGTTGGAATGCATCCCAGGTATGGCTACATGAACTGCAATAGACCAAAACTGCAAAATTTTAGTACTGTTTCCAAATAAAATTTCTTCCAGTTTGTAGGTAAATAAACAAGGTGAAATTTGTCTAAAATGGAGGCATAGCTTTAAATTATCAACCCATTCCAGAAATTAACAGTAGTGGCAGCAACCCCTCTGGACAACTAACGCACTGCAGCCACTATTCAGGGAGGTCTAGAAAGCTGGTCATGCTTTGTGTATACAAGGAGTAGAAGTAGAAGATGTACCTTTGTATAACTGATAGAAGTGCTTGACGAAAATGGCAGGCTTCATATCGTGAGAATGTATTTTTCCAATATATAACATAAGGGACTCCCTGGCAACGATAAAGGAATGTTAGCTTTTATAAAAACATAAAGAATGAATTTCAACCATTTGCCCACAACCAGAATAAATCATTTTACCTTGGAGTGAAGTGCTTCTGCCAATTTATCACCATTGGGGATCTCTAAATAAACCTACAAACATTTGCGAATAGATTATTCAACATATATAATGATTAACAACTTTAAATAAGCATTAAAACCTGCAGAAGTTGTAAAAAGAAAACACTAAATAGAAGGAAAAATGAATGTAAAAATAACTTTAAAGGAGAATATGTAAGCGCACACACCAGGAAAAAAATCAACCCAATTCAGCTCTTTAACACTTTTATTGTGCGATTGAGAAAGGATCAAGTAATAAACTCTAAAAAGAATTAAAGTAACAAAATCATGCATCACTAACAGTGGTGGGCAATGTGGAACCAAAGAGTCCACAAAAGGCTTCAGGAGTAGACAAATCAACATCTCCCCAAACCAGAGAGCCAATGTCTTCATGATCTGCATTCTGCTCCCCTTGAAATAAACAATATTTGGCTCTGAAGATGCAAGAACCCGCTCGAACTCATCAACGCTAGGATTGTTCAGAAGCTGGACCTTCACTCACACACATGAAAATGTCACAACTTAGTAATAACTTTAAGCTAAAACATCTAAGCTTCAAAATTGCAGGACTCTTAGCATGAGTTATATACCTCGAGGCGCCCTGAAGAAGCAAGCTCTGGAAGCGGGTATCTAGGATTATGATCAGAAGTTCGCTTCCTATGTTTATTATCAGAAACTTCACTACTACAATGAACTGCAAGGACACTGCAATGATTCCTCGAAGACCCTTGAGCACTAAACATCATGCAAACATGCCAGAACCAATAAAACTCAGGCTTGTCACTATGTATAAGACACCAATGCCCGCTTTTTTTTTAAAAAAAATCTAAATAACCCAAAACACTAGAGTGAAATCATATGAAAACCCTGAAAGGCTTGCTGCAAACCAGATAACTAAAAACTCACACCAATAAAAAATCTCCGAAATTTCCAAAAATTCCACCGGAGAGCGAAAATGGAACTTCCCTCTGTATTCAGAGATACTTCAAATCCCTAAAATACAAAAGCTGACGACTTCAAAATCTTAAAAAAAAAACCCCCGACGCAGATGAGATTATATTAAGGGGATCGGAAACCCAGATGAGCAAATTACCAGGAAAGAGGATACCGAGAAAATTCTCTCTAAAAAACAGAGGGATGCAACGCTCCCAAAGAACAATAATCGAAAAAGTACCCAAAAAGAATAAGAAAGAACCCTAAATTTAGAAGACTCACTCTAATAATAAAGAAATCTCAAATAAGAACCTCGAAAGTACACATCTTCCTTTCACCTAATAAAAATCTAAAAAGAAATTAAATAAAAACCGAAAATCAAAATCCGATAAAATTCAAAATCGCGCTATAAATTATTGCAACAAAAACATTTTCGGGTAGTTTAATTAAAAACCAAACAGCCCAGTCCATCTTTTCCCTTTTTCTCTTGTTGTCGGTTTGCATTTTAATAACTACAGTTTCCTTTTCCCCAATCACATTTTCGTCTATCTAATCCAAGTCAAAAACAAAAATTCCCATGAACCGTTTGATCAGGGGAACCCACAAATAAGAAAAAATATACACCCAGTTGTTAATTAAATTCTAAATTGACTTTTTATTAATCTGTTTCTTTGAAGTTTCACGTTTGTTTGATACTAGAAAGCCCTTCCAAGCATATTACTTCATGTTACCCTGCTTTCAAAAGATAAACATAAATCGCGAACTTCGAGAACGTTAAATTTTTTTGCTTTATTTGATCCCAGCTTTTTGTGTTCTTGACATTAAAAATTCTCCTACGCCGCAAGATTAGTCGATTACCATAAAGATTCCCTTATGCAGTGGATTCTTTCTTTGGTTTTTTATTCGGACACTAATTCAGTACCAGTACCGGTTGGTTCTATTCTCATTGTCCGAGATCGTCATTATCATTTCCATTATCATAATCATGATGACGATGATCATCGGCATCAGTCTTTTGCTCTTGGGTCTTGCATTAAATACAATTTATTTACAAAGTCCGCTCACTGTGTAAGAACCGCGACTCTCTGGATTCAATTCCTTGTTTTTCTTCTTCTTTATTCAGCTGTCTCTTAATTTATGTCTTCGGAATTGGAGGAAAAGAAAAGAAAAGAGAAAAATGGCTGTTTTTTTTAATTCATTTGCGTTTATCAATATCAAATGTATAATATGATTTGAACATTGGTAGTAAAACATGCTCCCAGTATCACAACCCATAATATTATAAAATAAGGGTAAAGAGAATACTTTATATTTTGCAACTTCAATTGTTATATTTAATAATAAAATTTATCATTTTGTAATTTAATCCTTCAACTTTATATTTTATTCAATTAGTCATTTTATTGTATTTTTTTATAAATTTCTTCTTTACATTAAATCTTTTACTTATTTATACTCATATCAATACTTTATCCTCAAACCCTCATCATTAAAAAATAATATTATAAATATATTTTATATTTTAGATGAAATTTAGTTTATTAAATAATATTACAAAATTTAATTTCACATGTGAAAGAGAATATAAAAAATATATATGTATATTTAATATGGTAAGAGAAATTTATTTTAAATTTGAATCAATTCATATCATAATATTATAAAATAAGGGTAAAGTATAGTAATGGTCACTGAATATTTCTGAAGCTTGCATTTAGGTCTCCCAACTTTTAAAACTTACAATACAGTCTCCAAACATTTAATTCGTTTGCAATATGGTCCGTCGTTAAATCGTCGTTAGAAGAAGATGACGTGGCAGTTAGATACCGTTTGCAGCTATGAAAATTAGGATAAATTATATAAATGGTCACTAAACTTTTCAGGCACTTGAATTACTTTGGAATTTGGGGTTTAGAATGTAATTAATGACTATTTTGTATGTTTTAAAAGTTGGAAGACCTAAATTCAAGTGCCTAAAAAGTTTAGTGACATTTATATAATTTACCATGATTTTCATAGCTGCAAACGGTATCTAACTATCACGTCATCTTCTTCTAAAGGCGGTTTAACGGCGGGGACCATATTGCAAACGGATTAACTGTTGGGAGACTGTATTGTAAGTTTTAAAAATTATGGGACCTAAATACAAGCTTTTAGAAATATTCAGTAACTATTACTATACTTTACCCATAAAGTAATTATAAGTGACTTTGAATATAAACTTAAACGACTCGACTCGAATTTTTGAAATTCAACTTAACTAAAAAAAATCAAATAAAGTTTAAATGATAAAATAGAATTTGACAACTTGATTAATTCAAAAAAATTGACTTAATAAAGTTTACTCAATCTTACATGAAAGCACGATCAACTGCACTAAGCCCCATAAGGGAGAGGGTACATATCCATTATTTTAAAATTTCATTAAATTTAATTTTATATATTAAAGGGAAAAAGGAAAAATACATACTCATTTAAAATTATATATTAAAATTTTACACTCTATTTTTTAATCCTTTGCTTATTACAAATATAGTTAAAATTCATTAATATAATTGTGCGTGGAGTTTATTTATTTAGAGAAAATAACTTCAGTGACAAAAAATACATTATAATATACGATTTTAATCAATTTTTTTTAGATTTGTCAAAATGACTAACTAAATCGCAATGCGATCGATAATTCGCAACGCGATCTCCGGTATCGCAAATCAGTTTCCAGATTCGCAATGTGATTTTAGACTATCGCAATGCGAACTTTGACTATCGCAATGTGAATATGTAAATCGCAATGCGAACTTGGACTATCGCAATGCGAACTTCGACTATCGCATTGCGGTAGTCAAAGTTCGCATTGTGATAATCCAAAATCGCAACGACTGGTGGTATTGCATTTGTTTCTTAAGAATTTTCTCTAAAAAGATAGTATTCGCGCGGACGTGTCGAAGACACGTATTACCATTACCATTACCACGACCACGACCACGACCCGACCCGACCCGACCCGACCCGACTCGAGACGAGACGAGACAGACTGCGGCGGCGGCGGCGCGCGAGAGTCCCCCTTGTTCTCTTTCACTTAACAAGGAGGTGGGAAAGCCAAGCCTTAAATACCATTCACAATAGTGTTTCCAATACTATGTGGGATTGAGCATTACCAACACTTGTTTCCAATACAATGTGATTATTCAGGAAACAATTAACAATCATGCACCTTAAAACAACTGAATCAGTAACCAATTGCATTAGTATTATACGATTAAATATGTCATAATTAAATGTCAATTTACAATCAATCACGATTATTGCAATTTTAAGCAAAACATTCAAAAATAATATCACTATTTAAGGCTCAATCTCACATTGTATTGGAAACAAGTGTTGTTAATGCTCAATCTCACATAGTATTGGAAACACTATTGTGAATGGTATTTAAGGCTTGGCTTTCTCACTTCCTTGTTGAGTGATAGAGAATAAGGGGGACTCTCGCGCGCCGCAGCCGCCGCCGTCCGTCTCGTCTCGTGGTCGTGGTCGTACGTGTCTTCGACACGTCCGCGCGAATACTATCTTTTTAGAGAAAATTCTTAAGAAACAAATGCAATACCACTAGTCGTACACCTAATTTTAGCTTCCCAACGAATATTTACTATATACACAATGACTCGAACGTGAGATTTTACTTAAATGATATCAAACTGTCTATCACTTGAATCAATCCGTTAATTTGTAATCGAGGATTTATCGTATAAGTGTATATAAGAGGCGATTAAAATCCAAGCTTTGTAATCGAGTTTCTAGATTAGTGTTAAAAATGGCAAAAAGAAGTTATGGGAAATTTTACTTTTGTTAGCTTTTCCTTTGCCAAATACTATCACCAATGGTCACAAGTCGTAAATGAATCTCAACATCTAAAGGATTCGTATATGAGCATCGCATTTATGTTTAATGTATTAATTCAAAAATTTGATCCCCCAACCCTCAAAATGGTACCTAAATCTTTTTTTACAATTATGTTACCACCTAAACCTGACAATTAGTCTTAAAATGACACCTCTTACTAATATATATAATTTTTGACCCCAACAACTGCAATAAAATGATTGTAAATTTATTGTCAAATAATTAAAAGTATATAAAATAAATATTATTTTATAATCATTTTAATTTAATAAAAAACATTCGGAGCATCACTCAATTAGTAATTCTATTTTCAGTAATCTTTTATTCCCAACATGGGATTTTTTGGGGTATATTATCGGGAATTTGATTACTCCTTACTCTTAGGTATTGTTGGATTACATACATTTTGGACTAGAATGCCCTTAATTTTTTCTTTCAAAAATATCTTTCTTCTGTCGTTGAATAATAAAATTTATACAAATGTTAAATTACAAATTTATCCTTAAACTATTTTAGATTTACAAAAAAAAATCTATAATTAAAATTTTATATGAAGTTCAGGGGTTAAAATAAAATTTTACCCTTTCATTAAACCTATTTATCTTTTCAAATTTGTTAAAAAAATTATATGAATTTAAAATTTTAAAGAAAATATATAAATTAATTATAATAATATTATAGTAGAATTCAACTTGTTAAAAAAATAAATATATAATAAAAATAATTTGGTAAAATATACATTTTAATAATATTTTATTCTTTTAACCAAACATCGTAATCTTAAATTCCTGTTAAAATTTATGTTAAACCATCCAAACACATAATACAACATTCCAATAATCATATTCCCCGATAATTTTTTATTCATACTAGTAATCTTATATTTCGTTAACCAAACTCACCCTAAAAGTTTTTGCAATTATCATTTTTATGCAAAACGTGTATATACAATAAAAATAATAATAAAATGAAGATAATTTACTATACGCACTACAATATGACTATTTTAAATGTGTTTGTAGATGATATACCAGCTCTCTTGAATAAAGAAAATATTGTTTTTCTTTATTATACGTCTACTTTATATTAGGTTTACTTTTCTTGGTTATTATTATAAATAAATATTTTTTTATTAATCTTAGACAAGTATAATATAATATTTTTCATATATAACTTTTCATTATTTGACATTGAACGCTTACATTCTTGATATTTCTAATGTTCAAATCCGAGATCTCAAAAAATAATAAATTAATAACAATTCATTTACATCAAGACTGCTTGATTCGTGCTATAAATATATATATATATATATATATATATATCTATATATATATATTAAGATGGAAAAGAATTAATTTATATAAATACAATCAATTTCAATCACAATTTAAAATAAAATATTGTTTTTATCAATCATTTATAAAATTTCTAGTTTTCTGTAATGATTAAACTTCGGATATTTGTTTAAAGGATCGTTCAAGTTCTTTTATTTTTAACACATTTTTTACTGAGAAGATAGTGGCACGTGTTGTTATTCTATTTAAAAAGTAATTATTATTTTTGACAACAGAGGATCAAAATAGAAAAACATTTATTAATGACACTTTTGTGAAATAAGTTTAACCAAATTAATGAATTATGAGCTCTGTTTTGAAAATTGGATCGGATCGGTCGGTTTAATTGGTTTAATCGAAAATCGTTGTTTAGTCTGATTCAATCTAAATCGGTTGAACCGCTATTAATGAATCGGTCAGAACCGTTGAACCGTTCGAACCGGACCGACAGAAAATCGGAAAAAACCGGAAAAAATCGGGATTTTTGTTTAAAAAAAAAATTAAATCAAACAACATCGTTTGTTAAACGAGCCAAGTCGAACTCAAGTATTGCTGAGCTCGACTCGAACTTGAAAACTTTAAAAGTAAGCTCAACTCAACTAAAACTCACAAGCTAAAAATTATCAAGTTCAACTCAAACTCGAAATATAATATTGAAATTTGAACTCAAAAAGGCTTGAACTCAAAAAAAAATTAGAAGCTCGATTGAAGCCTAAAATTCGAGCTTGATTGAAGTGAAAGAATAGTTATATAATTATAGTTATATAATTTTGTTATGATTTTTTAACCCAAATTTATTTTTTAATTAGTTATATAATTATATTTTATTATTTAATATATTTACCATAAAATTATGTTGTAGTTAATTTGAATCATTTTGTTCACTTGATTTTATGGTTTTTAACTTATATATGTTATGATATAAAAAATTATTTTTTATTAAATATTTTTGGTATTTTTATTTAATTTTTTAAATAATTATGACGTCGTTCGATTCTTTCGACCGATCAAATCGGTTCAACAGATTAAACCAATAAACCGATAGCATGATCGGTTCGCTAACCGATCCGGTTCTGAAAACCATAGAACCGTTGTCATGTGCAGAAAGGAGAGAAGAAAAACAAAAGCTAACAATCAAACGAGAGGTCTAGAACGGACACAACAAAAAGCACAGACTTCACAGGATACATAAATAAAGCGAAGCGTGAAACCGAGGGAGAAAAACAAAGTTAATCGAAGAAAAGTGTTGTACGTGATTTTGTATTATTAATTTTCCTTTTTTATTGGAAAATTAGATCGTGTTTTTTCCCCCATTTCATTGCATCACTGCCGTCAAATTTTCCACGAAGTTAACTGTGGAGGTTAACGGCTTTAGCTTTTTGCTTTCGATCGTTCTCTGTTGGGCAGTTTCAATGTAATTTTTATTGTTGTACTTGTGGAAATTTACTTAACGTGTTGATTTAGTTTTAATCAATTAAAGAGTAATTCAGTTTTCTTGATGAGATTTCCAGAAAGAAACTCGTCATCTTATTGTTGTTGTCTTTCCTGTGTTAATCGGTCTCAATAAGAATTAACTTACTAATTTGATTTTAGGGTTTCTATGAGTTTATTTATTTTGCTTTCTAATTTCGTGGTTTTATCGTATTGAGCAGTGAGTAGAAGTCACATCCCTAACTGAAGAAGAACAAGAAAGAAGAAGCAAAGAAGATATTGGAATTTGGGGATTTGGATAGCGGAACTTGAGGTGCTAGTATTCCAGCAATTTTAGTTTCTTATTATTTCTTTTGAAAATGTTAATGTTAAGCTTTTAATGTAATTTAAATTAGTCGCTCAAACTTGTAATTTTTTGTTGTGTCAATTCCAATCTAAGTTTTCCCTCCACTTTCAATTACTACTTTGTTTGGATAATAAGCTTTAGGGTAGTAGTTTTGCTGGAACTTAATTGTGTATGTGTATTTTATTTGTTGTGGTTTAATAATGGCTATGGTGTTAGGGGTGGCGATTTTGTGGTTTGAATTGTGAGAGTGACAAAAATGAATCATGATTACTGGATCTGTTGGGATAGTTGTAGATGGGCACCCTGACGACAAACAATCTGACCATGTAGACACAAAGTCGTGGATCCCTAGGAGGAGCCTCTGAATGTGTCGAGGGATTTGGATGCCTGATCAGAGTGTAGAGTATGCTACGAGTGTGACTCCCAATTTACAGTATTTAATCGCAGGCATCATTGTCGACTTTGTGGCCGTGTTTGTGCCAACTGTACAAAAACTCAATTTTTGTCCCATCTGATGAGCCAAGGGCTGGTCGTGAATATTCAGAAAGGATTAGGGGTATGTAATTACTGCTTCAAGCAAGGGAGCAGGGATAGCAGCAGTCGATAATGGACAAAAACACCTAGTTCTGGTCTCTGTCCATCTTTCTGCAGCAAGCTTGGCCAGTATCAACTCCAGCTGCACCTGTAATAGTAGTAGTGGGTATTGTTGGTTCTACTCCATTCAACTGAACCTGACTACTGTATGAACATAATTCTGGTCTTAGCCATTGTGAATCTGCCCATATGAATGGGCTGAACAAACAGTGAGTCATCTAGGATGAGCACAGATCAAAGTTCAGCCTTAGTAGATTTCTGCAAATTTTGGCTTTTTTGTGGTAACAGGTACCTTCTCCATTTACTATGAATCTGGCTCTGAAATTTCACACGCCTTTGCATATATATTATAGGCTTGTTGGGGGTGGGGTGGATAGCGTTAATGGTTACCAGTGAATCCTTCATGATATCAATTGTGTTGGGATGGCCTTTACTTCTTTGCTCTATGTTTTGTGTTTGTCAATTCATATTCAAGTTACACAAACTGCTTTGGATGGAATCCATAAGTCTTATGCTTTATTTTACGATTTCGAGCTAGTGATAAATACTTATACTTTCTTAACTGTTGATTCCAGGAGTGATGATGAAGATGATGATTATGGGTGCATATTCAGACTCAGAATCGAAGCATTATGCTCATGCTGAAGAGTATTATGGTGCAGCCAACAATCATGAATTTGACTGTGTTTATAAATCAGATAAAATGCATGCTCATGCTGAGAACACAGAGGCGAAGTCTTTGAGTGGTTCACCGTTATCTAAGAATTTTGATATACCAAGTGTGCATGAAATCAAGAAATTTGTAGAAAAAAGGAGCTAGAGAATGCTGATGAGGGTGAAGCTCCTGCTTATGATGTGGATGGTACAGGTGTCGTGCCTGTGGATTTTGAGAGCAATGAGGTACTGTGGCTCCCTCCAGAGCCTGTGGATGAAGAGGATGAGAAGAAGCTGCTTTATTTGATGATGACGATGATGGGTGCTACAGAGAGTGGGGATATTTACGATCTAATAGTTTGGAACTAGGGAACGTAGCAGGGTCTGTTGAGGAGCACAGGAAGGCCTGAAAAATGTGGTAGAAGGGCATTTTAGAGCTTTGGTATCTCAGCTTTTGTGGCTGAACCTTCCTGTTGGGGATGATGATGGCAAAGAGAATTGGTTGGATAATCACATCTTTGTCATGGGAAGCTGCAACACTTCTGAAGCCAGATACAAGCGAGGGAGGGAATGGATCCTGGAGGATACGTAAAAGTTAAATGCATAGCTGCTGGGCGTCGCAGTGAAAGGTAATATTGGCGACCTCAATTTGAAAATTTCTTAATCATCAACAGGAACAACTTCTCCTTAGTTCATATTCTTAGCAGGATAGTTTAACAATCCAAACATACAAATAACTTTTTGTTCTTACTAATCAACTTTATTGACTTCAAGATGGTTAACCATGTTCATGGCCAAGCATCAGACTCATTAGGTCTTGAAGTATGTAATTGTTGCATTGGTTTATACTTCTGGCATCTATAATTCCCATGTTAAAGGTTGATAATTCCCCCATCTCTTTTTTCTTGGGTGATGGGTACTGATCATTGTTCTTTGATTTTAATGTGAATGAACATACCCTAAAGTTATTTCCCAATCACATCCCTTTCTCTCTCAGCTATTATTTGTGATTTGTGAATAGGCCTCATATTTGTATTGAGCATTCACAATAATTTTCCTGTGATTCTTGATGCTCATTTGAGGCAGTTTGGAGAGAACAAACATGGAGAGATGGTTACAATTAGCAATAAATCAAACATGTCACAAAAAGAATGCTTTGTATGTTATGCAGTTGTTCATTCTATTTCATTCTGTGATGAGATTCTGATTTCCTTTTTTAATATTTTCTGCAGTGCCGTGGTTAAAGAGTTGTAAGAATGTAGCTCACGACGAATGACTTCAAAAATCGATAAACCCTCGTTTTCTAATTCTTGGAGGAGCTTTGGAATATCAGCGCATTTCTAATCACTTGTCAAGTTTGATACATTGTTGCAGCAGGTTTGTATTTCTAACTATTCCCTTCTATTTTGGTTTGTTAATTAACCTAGGTTCATAATACGGGCTAAACAAGGAACATTCCTTTGATTCCTACCTTCTAGGAAATGGACCATTGAAGATGGCAGTTGCTAAAATCGATGCACATCATCCTAATGTTCTTTGGTGGAGAAATCTGTGTCCCGTATGCTCAAGAGTACCTTCTTGACAAAGACATATCTCTTGTTCTCAATATTAAGAGGCCACTCTTAGAGCGTATAGCCCGCTGCACTGGTGCTCAAATTGTTCCATCCATTGATCATCTGACATCACCAAAGTTGGGTATTGTGACGTGTTCCATGTGGAGAAATTTTTTTTGAGGAGCATGGAAGTGCTGGGCAAGGTGGGAAAAAATTGACAAAGACACTAAGTTTTTTGAGGGTTGCCAAAGCTCTGGTTATACAGTAAGTCCTTTCAGTATGCATGGTACATATATCCATTCCTAGTGCTACTGCTGAAAAAAATCTTATAATCTGGAAAATCTTTCAATATATGTTGCTGATTTTACAATGTTAGCTATCAAAACTTTTGCATGATAAGTATGATTATTATTTATATTTCTTAGGTAATCTTTTATTTTGTTGATGTTTTTCATAGTACCTGAAGATGCATTTTTTTTTAACAAAGATGAGTATGCATAAACAGTTTTTAAGGCACCACACCCTCAGCAACATAAATGCTGAAGGGACTCAAAAAACTCTAAAAAGCTCTTGCTAAACCTAAAAATGGGGTAAACAGATCAGGCTATATGAAATTAATGAGCAATTATGGAGTCTACTCAACATTCTTTATAATATTTGACTTGAGTCCAGTAGTTTAACACTCTCTCTAAAGCACATGTGGAACAACTACTATACTAACCAATCTACCTGGAGTAGCCTGTTGTGGACTCTTAGTAGTTGTTAGGTAGGACTCTTAGTAGTAGTTTTCATGTAGGATGCTTAGAATAAAAGTTGCTTTAGGGCTCTTAAAATAGTTGTGTTTGGTAGGAATTTTTTTTTGTTTTATATATTTCTTTAGTTATTTTAATTTTTATTTATGGGATGATTAAAAACAAAGTTGAGTATTTATCAAAACCCTAAAACAGATTTGGGTCTCTCTTTAATGAGCCCTAAGGTTTCAGGTTCCCTTTGATGAGTATGAGTGATTTTCCGGTCCATCACCCATGACTCAATCCCAAACTCACGGTTGTAACATAACCACAAGAAGAGAAATGGCCATTTTCTGAGGTTCACTGACCATAACTTGTACCTGAAACAATTTGTTACTGTAGCCATTAGGTTCTGCTGATTGAGCAATTCCCTTTATTATCAGGTGACACCATGACTTCCTTAATATGAAAAAGGGAAATTTCGGCCATCTAGCTTCTTCTGGTCGTCTCATAACTTGCATGGGGAAGAACCTATCTGCCACCTTAACATGCTTTCTAATATTCATCTACAACTGCATCGATTAAAGCACCTCGTGGCAGCAATAGTCCACTTAGGTTTTCTTTATCATGCAAATTTTTGGTTGTGTGTAGCAGAAACTATTGTGGCTGTTTGCAATCAGGTGTTTTGCTAACTTTTAGGATGGTGATGCATAGAATGTGTTACATGAAGTTCTGGTCATTCATGTCAGCCATTTACATTGTAATCTTACTGTTTTTTTCCAAATAAAAATTTTTGGTGCTAAGATGGTCCAATGGTTAACTTTGTTTCAGATTTTACTCAAGGGTGCGCATGGAGATGAACTGAAAAAAGTGAAACATGTTGTCCAATATGGAGTTTTTGCAGCTTATCACCTTGATCTTGAGACATCATTTCTAGCCGATGAAGGTGCCACACTTCCAGAGCTCCCTTTAAAGTCTCCTATAACTGTTGCCTTACCTGATAAACCATCGGTATTGACAGGTCTATTTCCATTGTATCTGGCTTTACCATCCCATCCTCCAGGAAGCCCATGGATTCCCAATCTATTCATGAATTGCAGAAATCCAACACAGATGTATCTCAATAGACCATCATCTGTCAACGATAAGCCCTCTTGCAAATCTACAGAGGCCAGTTTATCTTGCTGGTCAAAATGTCCTCAAAGTATGTCAAACTATGAGGAATCTGCCATTGACAATGTTCAAGCTAGTTCTTCCTTGAATTCACTGTCAGCTTCAAGGATGGATCATCTTTGTTCTCAAAGATTATCAGAAGCACCACAGCACGGTAGGCAGTATCATGCAAATCACCTGCAAATCACCTGGATGGCCCAGAGTTGGCATCCTTAAAACAAGAGCCTGCTAGCAATAATGAAGCAGCAGGATCCTCAAAGGAAGAGTTTACTCCACCTTCAGACCACCAGAGCATTTTGGTGTCATTATCAACCCGTTGTGTGTGGACAAGCACTGTGTGTGAACGGTCTCATCTCTTCCGAATCAAATACTATGGAGCTCTGATAAGCCGCTGGGCCGATTTTTACGAGATCATCTGTTGATCAGGTATTTTATTGTTATTTCATGTAGAAAACTTGATCTTCCTCTTTGCTTCTCATTAGTAGAACTTAAGATTCTTTTTTATCAGAGCTTCCATTGTCATTCATGTGAGATGCCATCTGAAGCACATGTTCATTGTTTACTCATCGGCAAGGTAGCCTGATAATATCTGTTAAGAAACTACCATGTCCTCCCTTACCAGGAGAGCGGGAAGGAAAGATTTGGATGTGGCATAGGTGCTTGCGATGCCCTTGGATCAATGGATTCCCTCCAGCCACAAGAAGAGTTGTAATGTCTGATGCTGCTTGGGGTTTGTCCTTCGGGAAATTTTTGGAGCTTAGCTTTTCTAACCATGCAGCTGCTAGCAGAGTTGCAAGGTGTGGTCATTCCCTTCACAGAGATTGTCTTCGATTTTATGGGTAAGGCTTTACTTAAGAAATGCGCAGTATTATGTTAATTAGAGCATAAAGGTTACCATTTTAAATGGAGTGATCACTTGCAGTGATGACACTTGTGTAGGATTAGTCTTTCTATTCTGTTTATGCAATTTCTCTCTAGTTTTTAAGCAATGAATTTGTTTCTCTTTGATAGATTGGTATTTATTTTTTATCATAATGGTTATCAACAATCATCCCTTTGTATAGTGTATCTGGTGTTTAATACTGACTTATGGGTTCCCTGGATATTCATTAATAAGGGATGTAGCTGTCTATACATGTATGAGGTTTCCATGGTTTGGGGAACACCTGAACTTGGTCAAGTGGCTATTGCTCCAAGATAAAGTGCCTTAAATCCTAGTATTCCCCAAGCCAGTTACTCCCTTCTGGATAAGGAGGGTTATTGGCCGAGAAGGGGATGGAAAGGGTAGGGTAAATTAATGGTATGAGATATATTGTAAGAGAACTCAAAGGTGTAAGAAATAATCAGATGAAGTATATTAGTTGCATTGATATCCTCTGATTGTACTGTGTTACTACATGCAGATTCGGGAGAATGGTTGCTTGTTTTCGATATGCTTCCATCATGTCCATTCTGTTTATCTTCCACCATCAAAACTGGAATTTAATTATGGTAATCAGGAATGGATACAAAGTGAAGCAAATGAGGTTTGACTATCCTAAAACCTTGTTCCAGTTCATAAAACTATTCTTGAATCAAATTAATACCTACAAAACCATTGATACTGTTTTGCAGGTGAGTAACAGGGCCGAATTCCTTTTTACTGAAGTGTATAATGCTCTTCGAAAGCTTTCAGAGAATTTATTAGGTTCAGGTTCTGATAGTCGTGGCATAAGGGCACCTGAAAGAAGAATCTGTATCGAAGAACTGGAAGCAATGCTCCAAAAGGATAGAAAAGAATTTCAGGTAGTTTATTTGAAACTCATTGTGTGCATCCTCTCCTTGTCCCTTATGAGCAACAGCTGCTATCTGATGGTTATAATTAACGCTTGAACCAAGCTGTTCAGAAGTTTTACCCCATTTTTGATTTGTTATCTTTAAGTGGATAAAACGAGCTTGATACACTGCCTCATTTCTTATCTGTTTACTTTTCCTTAGGAATCTTTAAAGGAGGTGAAAGTCGGCCAACCTGTCATTGACATTCTTGAGATCAATAAGTTACGCAGGCAACTACTCTTTCTTTCTTACATTTGGGACCAACTCCTGATTCATGCTTATGGTTCAATTAACAAAAATATCCAGGAAGTTAGAAGCAGTTCCATCCCAAAGTTTGAACTGAAGCCTATAAGTTCTGTGGATAAGCTTTTTGATGAATGTTAGTCCCAAGTCAACTGAAGGCTTTAGTAGTTGCGACTCTGCCCTAGCTGATAACGTGCCTGATATAAACATGAATCAAGGAGGCAATACTGGTGAAATTAGAAAACCAGGTGGAGACCACAAAGAAAAAGAGATGGACCAGGACTTTAATAACAGGAAGGAGGCTAAATCTTCTCTTTCTTCTAGTTTAAATTGCAGCGAGAAACCTGATGCTGTGGAATTTGAAAGAGCTGTTGGAAGGTCCCTGTCAGATGGGGAATTTCCGAATATGGAAGATGTATCTGACACCCTTGAGGCAGTGTGGACTGGTGAAGGTCACCCAGTTAGCATACTTCCCAAGGAGAATGGTTACATTGATCCTGTTTCGGCTGTGTCAGATATGTCAACTGCAGTAATTTCGGATATGGGAATTCATGCTAGTGTTCATGGTGAGGTGGAAGTGGCATGTTCTCCTCAGTCTGCTCTGCCCACCAAGGAACTTGAAACTTTGGAGAAATCCATGAGCAGGGAAAGTGTGCCATTTCGAAATTTTTGACTCATTTAATAAGAATTCTTCATTCAATGCTCAAAAGCTCAATATCAGTGAGTATAATCCAATCTACGTCTCATCATTTAGGGAGTTGGAAAAGCAAAGTGGTGCCAGGTTGCTGCTTCCTACCGGTGTTAATGACACAGTTGTGCCTGTTTATGATGATGATATTATAGCTTATGCACTTATCTCATCAGATTACCATTCACAATTGTCTGAGCTGGAGAGAAAAGATGGTGCAGACTCTGCAGTTTCATCATCACTTATTGATTCAATGAAACTGTTTTCACTTGATTCTTTTAGTGACATATCATCTGATACTTTCAGAAGTCTTGGATCTGGTGATGATAGTATCTTGTCTCTGTCTGGGTCACATAACTCCCTGGCTTCTGATCCCCTCTCATACACAGAAAATTTGCATGCCCAAGTTTCTTTTTCCGATGATGGTTCCCTTGGGAAGGTGAAGTATTCGGTGACTTGTTATTATGCAAAGCGTTTTGAGAGCTTGAGGATGACTTGCTGTCCTTCTGAGATGGATTTTATACGGTCTCTCAGTCGTTGTAAGAAGTGGGATGCCCAAGGCGGCAAGAGCAAAGTTTTCTTTGCAAAAACTTTAGATGATCGATTTATCCTCAAACAAGTCACAAAGACAGAACTAGAATCATTTATTAGTTTGGACCTGCTTATTTCAAGTATTTGTCTGATTCAATCAATACAAGAAGTCCAATTTGCCTGGTAAAGATTTTGGGCATATATCAGGTATTCTTTAAAGTAGTTAAACTTCATGAGTGAATATCTGAAAATAATTCTGGGAAAAAATGTTTTAGTACCACAAAGCATTGTTATCTTGTCAATTATGCTTTCCAATTCTTGAGGCACTCTGGTTAAATCATCTGTCGGTTCTTCCTCTTTTCTCATTCTGCTTAAAGCTCATTTCATGTTGTGATTTATTTGGGATATGTGTTTGTGCGTGCGCATCTCCTTGCTGATTTGTATATGAATTCCACTTTAGATGTGTCCAAATATGCTGTGGCAACACTTGATATTCTAATGTTATAGATGTTATAAAGCCTGAGATATGAGCAACCTAAGTGCACCTCGCTTAGAAAATTTTCAAGTTTTATCTGCTTATTATGTTTTAGTTTCCTAAACCAAAATTAGTCTTCTACTATTTCGTTATAATTATACCTTTATTTTTGGTTTAATTTTTCTTCCGGTGTCATTGCCTTGAAGGTTTCATCAAAACACCTTAAAGAAGGTAAGGAATCGAAAATGGATGTTTTGGTGATGGAAAATCTCCTCTTCAGGCGCAAGATTACAAGACTTTATGACCTTAAAGGATCTACACGATCAAGGTATAATCCTGATACAAGTGGCAGCAACAAAGTTCTTCTGGATCAAAATTTGATTGAAGCAATGCCAACTTCTCCAATTTTTGTTGGAAGCCAGTCGAAGCGGTTGTTGGAGAGGGCCGTTTGGAATGACACTTCCTTCCTTGCTGTAAGTTGGAATTCAACTTCTCATTTGTCACTGGGCTGCGCGTACCATTCCGTATATTTTCTTTATATTTTACAAATAATATTTTGGTAATTATCATTATGAAATGAAAGAAACTATGGTGGGTAATGTAGTCGGTGTGGGCTGTATTGCACAGTGTTGGATTGTTTATTTCTCTTTAGCATTCTTCATGCTATGAATTACATGGCGATGGGCTCTTCATATCTCTGCTATGCATATAAGCTAATTGAATTGATGGTCTGATTTGCTACTTGGTATCTTTCCTAATAATTATGTGTACATTTTTGGAACAGTTGGTTGATGTAATGGACTATTCGTTACTAGTTGGCGTGGATGAGGAAAAACATGAGCTTGTTCTTGGAATAATTGATTTCATGAGGCAATACACATGGGACAAGCACCTTGAAACATGGGTGAAGACCTCGGGCATCCTCGGTGGGCCTAAAAATGCACCTCCGACGGTCATCTCGCCTCAACAGTACAAGAAACGATTCAGGAAAGCCATGACTGCTTATTTTCTCATGGTGCCAGATCAATGGTCTCCTCCAACAACTGTTCCTAGTGGGTCGCAGACAGACCTTTGTGAAGAAAACACTCACAGTGGTAACCCTGTTGAATTATAATTCGAGTCCTTTTGTCTGTATATGTCAAGATGTAAGTTCAATACCCACATCTCCCTCACTTCATACTTGCATACATTTACCTTTATTTTAAATTCATTTTCGCCTATCTTTTCTTTTTTCTTCGGTCCAATTGTAATTGTTAAATGGCTGCAGTTGTGGTCATCTCGGTCCAGACAATTGAAGCCCTCAGTTTGTGCCACCACCAATTTATAATTATTTCAATTATTTTCTAAGTTATCATAAATAAGAGCTTGTTTGAGTAACTTTCTCAATAGAGGAATTAATAAAATCTTTTTAATAAAATTTAAAATTTATTAATGTGACATATAAAATAAAGTGATCGCACCAATAAAATCATAAATATGATTCAGTCAATAAAAAATATTGATTCTTTATTTGTTAAGTGTCGCAACAATCAATGTTGGCTAAAGAGTCTATTTAGTTGAACAGTTAAATACAAAATATCATGAGGGACCTAATTGACTTTTCAAAAAAGATTGAGGACATATTAACCAATAACGCTAAAAATAATCACAATACAATATCAGCTTTGTTTGAAAACTGCAACAAAGTAAAATGCCCATTTAAACGACAAGTGCCCGATAAAAGCTCCAAACTTGCCCTCACAAGCTTTTGGCGCTCCCATTTTAACTCCTTTCGAACTCTTTTCCTTTCCCTCCACCATCGCACTTAGTCCCCTGCCTCTTTTCATTTTCTTTCCCTGTGTTAAGCCATCTCCTTCTCCAGGCTTGGATCTGTTCTTCAAATAGATACTGCGATTGTTATTTCTTTTAAAGTTAGATACTTGGATAGTTAATAAATATACAAATGGAACAGCAGAGAAACCAGACGGTGGTTCAACTGCAGCAGCCAGAGGAGCTTGAGGAGATACAACATGGCCCGTTCCCTATGGAGCAACTTCAGGTGAAACAAGAAATCATCTTCAAGATTTCGTTTATTTTCTCAATTCTATTGGAAAGTAGGACGCTTTTATATGTGGGGTTTCTTTTATTTTTTCTCCAAATTTCCGAAAACTGTTTCTTTTCTTGATTTGTCCACATTTACAGAAAGAGAAAATAGAAAAACCGTTCGTTCTTTTTCAAGATTCTGAAAATAAAAAACGAGTTCTGTTCATCCTTTTCACCGCTTTTAGGTTTACTTCAGCATGGGTTCTTTTCAGTATCGCCTTTTACCTTTCGTTTACCTAATATTAGATCAAATGGGTTATATTATTTCGATCTCCTGTTAGGTGGATGATTTTCTGTTAGTTTTTTTCTTTACAATTTTATATGTATTTGATCCTCAAAAAGCTTTAATATTTTTGAGCTATGGGAGATCAAGATTCTATTAATTGAAATGCAAGTTTAATTTACTTTTCTTTTGTTTGATGACTCGTATTTGGATTTTTGCATTTTCCTGTTTTTCATGAGATTTTCCATGTTTTTTTTGGCTTAACAGTTCTAATTATTATTCTTATTGTTTGTCTTCAACTAAAGGAATCCGGCATTGCATCCTTGGACATAAAAAAGCTTAAGGATGCAGGTCTTTGCACGGTTGAATCTATTGTTTACACGCCAAGGAAAGATCTTCTCCAGATCAAAGGAATCAGTGAAGCTAAAGTTGACAAGATCATGGAAGCTGGTATACTGTTTCCACTTTCCGCAGTTGTTTAAACTTTCAGTGATGACATTTACCATCACTTGTAAAATGATCCGAAATTGGTACTTTCATCTTCTTTGGTTCTTGGCAGCTTCCAAATTGGTCTCGTTGGGTTTCACCAGTGCTAGCCAGCTCCATGCCCAGAGGCTGGAGATAATTCAGATAACATCTGGGTCTAGTGAACTAGATAAAATTTTGGAAGGTATATGTGCTCTGATGCCTGTGAAGTTTCGTTTGATTTGGATTCTAAACACCCAATTGTCTACTTGTTTAACCGGTTAACACTTAAGAACTTTAGATTGATCTTTCTGCTTGTTAATTAAGTTTTGTATCATTTTCTATAATAGGTGGAATTGAGACAGGATCTATTACTGACATATATGGTGAGTTCCGTTCTGGAAAGACTCAGCTCTGTCACATATTATGTGTCACATGCCAAGTAAGAGTTTTCTTTTTCATGTTCCCAGCAACTACAGGTGTTTTCTAGGTTTGAAGTTTACTGTTTCTCGTGTGTGTTGCTTGCACTTCATTTTTACTTCCTAATATCTGCTCATTGTGTGGCAGAGCCCCTAAGTTTATGTTATTGCAAATTTGTTGTTATGTTACCCAGTAAGTTAATTTGGCAAGGTATGCTTGTAATATTTTATTTGAATTTTTCTTTTTATGTTTCAGCTTCCATTAGATCAAGGAGGCGGTGAGGGAAAAGCAATGTACATAGATGCTGAAGGGACATTCAGGTCACAAAGACTCTTTCAGATAGGAGAGAGGTGATACATGGCTTCCTTGATATGGCAATGCTGCTCCACTGAAAGCAGCACTGATAGTGGAACTGTTGAATTGTGCAGGTTTGGATTGAATAGTGCTGATGTCTTGGAGAATGTGGCCTATGCTAGAGCATATAACACTGACCATCAGTCGAGGCTCTTGGTTGAAGCAGCTTCAATGTTCTCAAAACATTTCCTTTGCCTGACACCGCGCACATAGTCCCTAATTTTCTACCAAGAAGAATTATCTCTTGTATACTTGGAGCAAACAAGCTGCAGACCAGATTGATCATTTGATGGATTTATCTGTAGATTTGCGCTTATGATAGTAGATAGCGCTACTGCCCTCTATAGAACAGATTTTACTGGGAGGGGTGAGCTCTCTGCCCGACAAATGCACCTTGCAAAATTCCTCAGGAGCCTTCAGAAGTTGTCAGACGAGGTGAGTGTTTACGTATTTATTTCTACTAGTATAACTGAGGCTTTGATTACTACTGCCAGTATCTAATGCATTTGGAACTTTATTGTGTGAGACGCTTTATGGAATTGGGTCATTTATTTCACTTGTTATTATGATGTTTTTTCCTGGCAGTGTCTGCTATTGTAGTTTGGCGTGGCTGTTGTAATCACAAACCAAGTAGTTTCCCAAGTGGATGGTTCAGCAATCTTTGCCGGACCTCAAATCAAGCCTATCGGTGGTAACATCATGACTCATGCTTCCACAACAAGGTTTGTTCTAGAAGCCCTAATATCCCATGTTCCCCACTCTTCATTGAAAGCTGCTAACTAGAAGCTCTCACTGACTACAGATTGGCTCTCCGGAAGGGAAGAGGGGAAGAGGGGAAGAGCGTATTTGTAAAGTAATAAGTTCGCCTTGCTTGGCTGAAGCCAAAGCACGGTTTCAAATTTCTCCAGGTGGTGTTTCTGATGTCAAGGACTAACCCATTTTAGCTCATTACAAAAGTAAAGCAAACTCCTATTGATCAATATGTTTTAATAGCCAACTGCATACCAAATCTCTGTAATTCTTATCTGAAATGAAGATTGTTGGAATTTGGAAGGCGTTATAAAATCTTGCTGTCCATTTCGTTGTGTATAGCCTTGACATCTGTTATATTATGTTTATTATACTGGAGAATCACAACACGCTATTTATTTGTGTTTTTTCTTCATAATTTATTTCAATTGTTGCAAGTTCTTCAATTGGATGTTAAAATTTAAGAAAAGAACAATTAGCTTTTTGGAAAAAATTTAAAGACACAGGTATCTTCATCATAAATTTGATTCATACAATATATTATCCTTGGGCAACCACTGGCTTCCCTGAATAAAATATTCCACCGTGAATCTTCTTGCTTCATCACTGCTGGCATTGAGGTTTACACCAGGCCAGTTAATTCGTCCACTGGTACCTGATCCAGGTCCTGAATTTTCATACTCGGCATAGAATAGAGTATCAGGTGGATCGACACCCTGCGTCCATTGGGTCCAACCTGCTGGGTCCACAATGTCTCCGATGAATGATTGCATGAATATTGTAGTCGAAAAATCCTTCCATGGCCTACCAAAGTACGTGGTAACCGTCAGATTGTCAAAAAGGAGTAATCTTGCACTGTTGGATTGAAATTCCGGTGTTCTGATTCGGGTCAGTCTTGCCTTGTGCAGTAATTGTGTTGAACTGGTCAGGCCCAGGCTGCCTTGGTTGGATACTGCAATTTTGTAGAACCACCGCTGCATTTCCAAATATGAAATCTACGGTTCCAGTGACATGACAATCACGGTAAAACTGTCTATTGGAATGTGTGTAAAGAGTATCCTGGTATGCATCAAAATTACAGCGGTAGAACACGGATTGGTCCGATGACGAACGCATTGCAACAGCTTGCTCTTTTTCCGGGCCTGCAGTGTTTATGAATCCCATGTCTCTTGCCATGAATCCCCTTCCAGCAGCAACTGTAAAGGGAAGAAGCCATTGTTTTTAATTAATCAAAGAGGAAAACATCAATATGCTAAAGGTGAAAATAACTAATGACAATTTACATTTCACTTACTTAAGGTGCCCGACCAAAAGGTGGGGGTTCCATCGACCTTGTTCAAGCTACCAGAGATAATACTCTTGTACATTCCATCTCCGTAAATCATTACATTCCAATAATCCTTATCGATTGTCACGTTCTCCAAATATACGCCTTCTTTTACATAGATAATGAACCTGGATTTGTTTTTCTTTGGGATTGATTCGACTGCTTCACTTATTGTCCTAAAATCTCCACTGCCATCTTTAGCCACGGTATATCAGGTTTAGTATTTCCTCCTGGAGCAATCTCCTGTCCCCACTATGGACCCAGCCAGGAAAACTAGGTTCATGTTCGTGATCAGAATAGCTGTCGTGTTTTAGCAACTTACGATGAATCGGAAATTGGAATTGACGTAGGATGGTCATTATCTGGGATGCAATAGCCAGGCTGTTACTGCTGAACTCAGTGGAGTTCCTCATGGCAAGTTCCATTTCTTGAAGTACAGCCGTGTTGTTCGAAGCCTCAATTAGGCCATCTAAACATGTTTCCTGGTACGTGATTGAGCTGCTGAGCCACGTCCTGATATCGTTGATCTTGGCCGTTGACAACACCGTTTTCTCTCCTTGCCCCATTTGCATAGTTGATATTGATTCATTTATGTATCCGGCTGCATCCACGAAAAGGTTTTCGCAACTATTCAACGCAGTACGCTCCTGGGGATTAATTTTCACATGACGAGAGATAATCTTCTGGGGCAAAGATGAGAGGCTAGTCAGTTCATCAAGCGCAACTTCCATGGACAGCATGAAGATTTTTGAAGGACCAGGATTCGGATCGGTATCATTCGAGGAGCTCTTAAGGGCAGCTATGCTTGAACCGCAAGAACCAGGATACCTCGTTACATTACATATTGCATTGATGCTCTCGGCAGTGTAAGCCGGTAGATCGTCTTTGGACTTTGAGTTTTTCAAAGGAAAAAGCGTACCAAAGACTGCACCAATGATGATGGCTATCAAGATGACCGTAGAGAGTCCGATGACGATGCAGCGCTTTCGAGTCCTTCTCCGGTACGCCTGTTCTTCAAGCTCATCTGCCCTGCAATAGCTCTGAAAGGATTTCGTTGAATCCATGTATGACTATTCTCGTTGTTATTACAAATGCTACGAACAAGAGAGTAAAGAAATATATATGAACCCATTTTACAATATAAAAAAAAAAAAAATCAACCATGGTCGACTAACCACGGTCATGGGATAGAGATGCTGTTGGTTCTTTTGAAATAGCCAAACTGATGACGAACCAGATGTGACGGTTGATGTACAATTTGCGTATAATATATATACTCTTTCTCCGTTGACAAATCGGCATTCGGCAATAGCCGAGTCAACATCAATCTGAAGTTTTATAGTATTTGCAGGGAAACTGTAACGAAGTTGTACTATGCAAGAGGCCAATTGCTGAAAAACAAAACGTTCGTTGTTTTCAATCAACACCAAGAGGCAATTATTTTTCCAGGTCACAAGCAGTTTCCACTTTCCATTTGTCCAACTGCTTGGAAACTTTCAGAACTCGCGACTACGTCTTCTTGAACGGGTCTGGCCGGCTTAACTTACTGATTACGGGAAACCGATGGCGACAATTCCATCACGCGTTTTACTGCATTTTAATTGTTTTTACTACTGTTTCTTGAGCTACCACGGCCACGAGCAAAAACCAGTGAAAGCTTATGTGGGTCGATTTGATATCAAATTTGACTTGACTTGATAATTTTTTAAAAAAGGTAAACTGTACAGACGATCACTAAAATTTAAATAAATTTTCGTTTTCTATACTGAAAAGTTTCAAAAGTAACAAATTAGTCACTCATGTTATCGATTTGTAACAAATTGGTCGCTCTACTAGGGATGAAGATAATAGTTGCACTTTTAGGACGAACCATGGAGATAGATGATGATGATGCCTCACATGGAATAAAGAAGAATCGATTGGCAAGATCACATGGTATTGGTGATTTCCAGATCTGTGCTAACGGACACATTTGAGAAATTTGTGATAAAAGAATTACAGAGAATCATTTCTTGATGGAATAGAGATTTGTTTGAATTGGTTTAGGGAAGAAAATGATTGTTTGGTTGCTAAGAAAATAAGGGAAAATGAATGGGTTCTTAAGATAAGTCAGCCTGTATGGTCAAATAGGACCACATATGTCAACTAATGTGCCGCATCAGCATTTTGCTACTGCAGTGACTACTGTTAATGGAGAATGACCGTTTTGTTACAAATCGATAATGTTTGTGACTAATTTGTTACTTTAGTGGGGAAAAACGAAAACTTACTCAAATATTAATGACCATTTCTGTAATTTACCCTAATATAGATTGAAAAGTTGAAGTATAAAAAGTCAACTACTAATGACCATACAAACCTATCCTAAAAAATACTTATACAAACCTATAAATTATTCTGAATTTCATTTGTAATCATTTCTTAAGGTTCATAGAAAAATGAAGAGGAAACTTTTGTATAATACGTTGCATGTTTTTCTCTCTTTTTATGGGTACTAAGCCTTTTGATATACAATAACATGATATTCGATTATTTATTGATTTAGTTGAAGCTTATTAAAAATAAATTTAAATAATGTGATTAAGCTCAAATCTTTTTCACGAGAGGGACATTAAAAAACATCAATATTCACGGCATTGAATTATCTCAGTTTACTACTACTGTTTTTCATGAGATAATCAAAGACGAGGAAAATGAATCCTTAACTCCCCAGTCCCATACGAACATTAGCGCCTGCTTCCTTTACCCATGTACCTTCTAAGAATGTTTCTACTGTATATTTCATGGCTTCTTCCTTGTTAATATCCCTTCTCCCTGCCCACTTCACTCTACGGTCAGTTCTCGCGCCAGGCCCTGTGTTGTTGAACTCTCCGTAGAAAAGGGTGTTAAGTGCAAAGTCGCCTTGCCATTCAAGCCACCCGGCAGGGTCAATGAAGTCCTCGATCAGTGATTGCATTATGATGGTCCTCGAGTATAGCTTCCAGGGCCTGCCTAGGTAGCTTTGGAATTGATTTGAGACCACTTTAAATGGTGCTTCTGGTAATATATTACAGTTTTGTAGCACAAAGCCGGTCGTTTCGTGCTTGTCTTTCCTCCCTTGGGCAGTGATGATGTTCTTTTGGTTGGGGTTGGGTTGCCTTACGTAAATCAAGCAGTTCTGGAACACGGAGGCTGCGTCACCGAAGATGAAATCTATGGTGCCGGTGATCACGCAACTTCGATAGAACTGGCGGTGAGTATGCGCGTATAAGGTGTCTTGGAACCCCTCGAATCGACAGTTAAGGAAAATCGCCTTATCGCCGGAGACTCTCGCGGCCACTGCTTGATGTTTGTTGGGCCCTGCGGTGTTTTTGAATCCCATGCTTTTTGCCATAAATCCAGGGGCAGCAACCACTGAAACAAAAACAAAAAAAGCATCTCATTATATCTCAAAGTTGGAACAAAAATGAACAAGTTTCTGAATTATGAGTTCAGTTCCAAAGCTTAAAGTAATCGTCAACATACCAAAAGTTGCGGTATGGTAAGTGGGGATTCCATCGACAAAATTTTTATCCCCTGTGATAATGGACTTTTGTGATCCTTCACCATACATGGTAAGGTTCACCATCTTCTTTGTAATGATTACAGTCTCGGCATATACTCCTTTCTTGACAAATATCACATACCTGTATGCAGGTTGAAAGTGGATAAATGTCTATGTATGAATGAGAATTATGACGGAGATGATCAGGTGAATTCAATGATGGATCATTATTATATATATAGCATACCTTCCTTCATATGTTGGTGGCATGGCAGCAAGTGCTTCATTAATTGTTTTGAACTTTCCGGTACCGTCTTGTGCCACGGTTACATTTGGTGTCAGCGTGTCATCTTCCTCTTCCTTCAACAGCCTGTGTTCTTCATCGTTTATCCAGCTGGGAAGCCCATCCTCGGCCAACAAAGGAAATCTGGTTTGTAAGAGGCCGCGTTTGAGGGTTGGCTTCTCCTGATGTGGGTTCATCAATCTAGCCAATTCACAAACCACGGCAAGGGAATTGCTAGTATGAACCTCGCTACTGTTGAGGGTAGTACCGAACTGGAGCTTCAATAGCCCCTCAGGGAAGCTATCGACACACGTTTCCTGGTACGACATTACAGCACTTAACCAAGTGGTCAAGTCCCCATCGGTTGTTTGCTTCCCTGGAACAATTGTTCCTATTCTATCAACAGAACTCTGTAATTCGTCCTTGGCATTTTCCATCACTTCTCTACAAACATCAAACGCTTTTCTCTCCAATTCGGTATGCAATATGATCGTGCTGGCTTTGGCAAAGGCCTTATTGAGCTCTTCAGTCGTTGACATGATGAAAGACTTGACAAGTTCTGTGGGTTGAGTCACCGAATTTGGATTTTGTGCTATAATCTTCGCAAGAGTGTCCGAACATAAGCTCTTGTAAGTTGTACCCTCGCAAAACGATGTCACTAATTCTTTGGGTGCTGCTGATGGTGCAAGAGCTGGAGCTGGAGTTGGCGGATTTAATGGTATTGGTGCAAATAATGGAGGTAGAGGTGATGGTGCTGTTGAAGGAGATGAAGATGGAGATGATGGTATTGGTTCAGGTAATGGAGGTAGAGATGATGGTATTGGTGCAGGTGATGGAGATGAAGGCTTTGGTGCAGGTGATGGAGGTAGAGATGATGGTATTCGTGCAGGTAATAGAGGTAGAGATAATGGTGCTGGTAAAGGTGATGGAGATGAAGCTGGTGTAGATGATGGAGGTTTTAGAAATGGAGCCGGAACTGGTGTAGGTGATGGTGGTTTTGGAAATGGAGCCGGAGCCGGTGTAGGTGATGGTGGTTTTGGAAATGGAGCCGGAGCAGATGATGGTTTTCGAGGAGATGGCGCCGGAGCTTTCGTAGCTTTGGGAGATGATGGTTTTGGAGGAGGAGCGTTCGGACCGGATGGTTTGGGAGGTTTAGGAGACGGTGGTGGGGTTGCTGGCGGGGTTGATGGAGGAGGTTGATGATAGTTATTACTATCACCTTTGTTCTCCTTTTTGTTACTATTTTCGGTGCTACTTTTCATAGAAACAAAAGCCATGGCAACCGCTGCCGCAATACCAGCAAGGACTAAGATAGACAAGGCAATGGTTATCCTCTTTTTGAGTACCCTTTGTCTCTCCTGTCTCCGACGTTCTTGTATAAAATCAAAATCTTGGAACACCATTTTTATCAATCTTGGGCTGAGGCAGAGAGTTCTCTCTGCCTTAGTTTCAAGCTAAGGCAGAGAGGGCAACCAAGGAAACCCAATGTGATTATATATCCCTTTGTCTCTTCCCTTGTCACCCTTCTTCTTGGTTCGGATTTTCAGCTTCAATCTTATTGCCATGAAACATACAAATGAAGTCTGGGCAGGAGAAGTTTTAGGCATCCTATTCTAATGAATGATACACTTTTCTTCTCTCCTCACCGCATTTCCCTCCGTGTCTATCATTCACATTGGGCTTCAATTGCTTTCAACCGCATGCTAAAAATGGCTGCTGTGTTAAATTAGCTTCAATTTTAGAAGATTAATTCCAAACATGGGAAAAAAACACATTTTTTTTCTGTGGTTCTGGTCGACTGTTAAAGCTATAAACTAACTTGTGACCTGTCGGCACTTGCTTTTCCGATGAACTCCGGTCGTTTATTAAGACGAATGCATGAAGAAGGGGAAAGTTTGTACTTCATATACTTGTTAGTGAATCGTCTTAAGAATTTATCTAAACTTCGACATTACTCAAAGATCAAGAGAGAAAGGAAAGCCGGTTGCGTTTAACCAATTAGCTCCGGCGATAAAATTCCGAGCAGTATAGCTTTGAGCCTCCAATGCATTGGTGATCAAACTATACCCCGTCCATGTAACCCTACTTGACGCGTTTGCGCCAGGGCCGTTGTTCTGATACTCCCGATATGTCAAAGTGTTTAGTGCAAAATCACCATTCCACGGGAACCAACCAGCGGGATGAATAATATCACTTATGACGGATTGCATGATAACGGTTCTCGAATATTGCTTCCATGGTATCCCTAAATAGGTAGAAAAATTGGCCTTCACGGCTTCTAAGTCATGTGTAGCGTCGATCCTGCATTTCTGGATCACGAGGCCAGTGTTCTGGTTCGGGTCATCGCGGCCTTGTGCGGTGACCATGTTCCTTTGGTTCCGATCGGGCCGACGAGCATGGATGTCGCAGTCTTGGAACACGGCTGCTGCATTTCCGAAAATGAAGTCCACGGTGCCTGCAATATGGCATTCTGAATAGAACTGACGAAGGCTGTGGACATAGAGAGTGTCCTGGTATGCTAACATGTCACACCTGTAGAATGCTGATAAGTCCGATCCAACGCGAAGTGCTACTGCTTGGTGCTTCGATGGTCCAGCCGTATTCTGAAATGTTATGTCCCTGGCCAAGAATCCGTCCCCCACAGCAGCTGCAAAAATGATTAAGATACAAATTGTTCAATTTCAACTTCATTGTTCATTCAAAATTTTAAACGGGGTACTCACCGACAGTGGAAGAGTTGAAAGTGGTGCTGCCATCAACGACATTTCTGCTAGCAGTGATGATGGTGTTGACCCTCCCATCTCCCACGAACATGAGATTGGTTTTCCTCCTAGGAACATCCACGTTTTCCCTATACACTCCAGCTTTAATCTTTATAATGTACCTAGTCTTGCTTCTCTCCGGCGCAGACGCCACCGCCTCAGACACCGTGAGGAAATCACCACTGCCATCAGCCGCCACGGTTACGTTAGGAGTCACTGTTGTCGCCTGTAATAGTCTCCTATCTCCCGGCGACAACCATTCAGGCCACTCGGTTTCGTCTTGCTCCTTAAGTTGCCTCCCGGATGATGGATAACCCTGGCTTGCCATGTCCGTGTCGGTCAAGTTCTTGATCATTGCCAGGGCATTGCTGCACATACGGAAAACATGCATCTGCCCATCGAGTATCGCTTGCCTCAACTTTTTATCAGCACGATCGTGAGAAAACCCGTCGAGGCAAGTTTCTTGGTTGGTCATTGCAGCACTAAGAAGGCTCCTGAGATCATCAGCGTGTTGAGAAATCGACTTTTTGAAGTCGGGATAATCTACGAGATCTTGTTCCGCTTTGAATAGCTCATCCAAAGTTTCATCCTCCAGTTCGAGACAATCATAGAGGGCGGTCATTTCGCGCTTCGTGAGGCTCTTCCGGTGGGTACTGATGAGCTTCTTGATGGATAAATAGTTACTCTGGACAGCACTTACCGTCAAGTTCAATGACAGTTCTATAACATCCTTGGGGTTCTTGATTTCGGTCTTAGCATTTCGGGCTGAAGAGATAGTTGAGAAGCATAACTGTGGGTACAATGTGGCGCTACATGATGATTTGATGATGGAGTGAGCTGCTGCAGTGTTATTGCTGCTTTCGTCGCTGGATTTCCTTTTGGAAATGGTGGTGGCAAAGACAACGATAGCAGTGACGACAAGGATAGACGGAAAGAGAGCCAAGAAAAGCTTTTTCCTACGCTGGGATGTCACAAATCCAGCATCACCGGAGATGGGCATTTTCGACGGAAGCCGATGACTAGAGTTAGAAGCTAAGTCTTAAGGGAAATTATGAAGAGAACTGATAGTATTTTGGTGGTCTTAAATACTAGAAGATGAGGGGATCAAGACTCAAGATTTGTCAGTTTAATAATGAGCTAATTAGTAGCTGTAGTAGCATCAAACACGATTTTCGCTAAATTTAATGGTTAAGGGCAAACTTGTAATGCACTCTTGAAGTGGCAAGTGGGATTATCTATAGACTTGTTTAATAAAAATATGGGTAAATTACGCATTTAGTATCTAAATTATCAGTTTTGATCATTTTAATACTTAAACTTTTAATTTTTTTAAAAGCATACCAAGTTTAGTTTTTGTTTCATTTTAATACCCTTGTTCAAAATTCAACATTAACTTTTGAATTTTTTTTGAAGTTTTAAGTACTAAAGTGAATCAAAATCGGTAGTTTAGGTACTCAACGCATTTAAGTTTTTAACGATGTGATACTTAAATGAAATAATAATTAAACTTTAGGTATGGTTTTAAAAATTGAAAGTTTAGGTCGTGGGACGACAATTTTTCTTTTATATGCAACGGTAACCGACATCAGGAAGCACCAACACAGGCTAAGCCTCGTTTTGCGGATCTGTATTCAGTTACCGTTGGGTTTTATAATTACAAGTAAAATTTTATACAAATATTGATTAAGAAATTTTACACAATAGTCATACGGTCAAATTTTGATCCTAATCTTCTCTGCTCTGCATTGACTGGAATGTAGTATTGGGACCTACGCCACAGCCAGCAGTTGAAGTCTCTCGTTTTAGATCCTTGGTTTCTGACAATCCTCTGCATTTTCTTGCTGTCTTGATCAATAGTTACAACTTTTAGGTGTTAATGGAATCGAATGTCTGAAATTCAACTCTACTAATGAAAATTTTTATCGAGGCTCTTGCAGTTCAGAAATTCAACTCTTCTAACGAGCAGCAGAAGTATACAATTGATCATCCTGAACCTCTGTACTTTGCTAAAAAGGTCAATGAAAGATTACATTCAAGCATCTGTTGGTACAAGTAACAAAGGGAAACTATTGGTGCCTAATTTGTTGCATTGTTTTGCCAAAGAAGTTACTGAAGACTCACTTTTACTCTATTGGGTTTGTCGATTCTTAACGCCACAACAGGCCTCCATGGTTAGAGACTGCCCATCACGTGATAAGTGGAACCTTCTCGGTGCTGGGAACTCCTTTTCCAAACATCGTAAGACCAAACATGCTTATAACTAAGGCAGACAGGCAATTCTTCAGCACAACAGCTGTTCCCATCTTGTCTGCTGCCCTGTAATGTGTAAATTGATCGCTATGCTTTCCTGCCATGAGGAAAAGTTTCAAAGCCAAGAACCCACATCAGAATTAAACTGAAGTTTTGCCCATTTAATCAAAATAAGATTTAAAAAGAAAACAGAAGTACCATATTAAATGGGCAAAATTTTCTTAAAATGTTACGAAATTCTTGACTGATCCCTATAAACACTCGAACCTTACAAAAATAAAATAAAATAAAATGTCAATTCCAACATCCTATTTTTCTTAATCGGATAACATTAATTCTTAACTGATACCTATAAGTATAAGCACCCGGACCGTACCAAAAAAAAAAGTGAATTTCCGACCTATTTTCTCACCCCCAAAATAATTCATGCCTATGTTCATATGGAATGTGCAGCAACGCTGAAAATCATTCCGCAAGGTTCCCAACAAAATAATTTGCTAAAACTGTTTAGGTAGGAGAGCTTTCAACTGCACCCTAAAAAGATCACAAGAGCAGAGAATCAAGTTGGTAAATTAACAATTAATATGGACTCCAAGAAGGAGCTTATCTCAAGCAAACAATCTGATCAATAGAAATAGAGTTATAAGATATCCACTGAAAGAATGTCAGTAAGGTAGGCATTTCACTTCAATACGCAATGCGCTAATAGTTCAACAGACAACATCAATGTTTGAAAATATACTGATACAGCCATTCATGGATTTGCACTTATACGATTTTAGCAAGACTATATTGTATTATTGTTTCACATACAAAGCATAATTATTAGAAAGCAACTAGACATTCTTTATACCTTAACAATAATTGGAGACCGCAACTACAGAACATGATGAATATCCACCGAACTAGTTTCCCCTATCATAGACTGGAGGTCAGATGTGTCCCCGAGTACCTGCGCACAGAAAGAGACCAACTTCTCTTCTGCTATTCCTTCTAATTTTGTTTCTGCATAAGACTGTTCAGCCAATCTTGAACCATTGTTGTCTGAAGATATATCAGTATCCTGGGAACTATTGGATTCTATATTTTGTCCTATATTGTCAGTAAATCCAGAAGTTGTTTTGCGCAAGACATCCAAATAAATGCATGTTCCTGCCAATTCCTGGCGAAGAAGATTTAGAGGGGGCCTGACGAGATATGAAGTTATTTGAAAGCCAGCTTCCTCCCAGAACCGATTAGGTGATGATAAACACTGAAATCAGGAGATGTGATTTTTCTTACATTTCTGCAGGAATGTGTTGCATACGTGTTCTCAGGTTAGAATATGAATTATATGATGCAGCAAACTCTATCGAGGATAACAAAACGTCCATTATGGCAATCTTCTGAGGTGCTTTCAAATTCTCCTAGTACTTTTTCTGCCAGTTCAGACATTTTAATCGGTAAAAAATTACAGAAATATACCACGACAAAATGTCCAAAGATGCAAACCTGAATGCCATCAATAGAACCTAGAATCATTAACTGAGTGATGCGCTTGCCCCTAAAAGTTTCCATAAGGGGGCTTTCCTCCTCATCCTTGGCTTCAGGTTCAACCCTCAGGAAGCTAGAGAAACATTAAATGAAATAAACAAGGGGTGAGTGACCTTAAATAAAGGATTAGGCATATTACGTCAGTTACACATTATATGCATAAATGAAGATGTGGCATATCCTCTCAGCATTAGTGGATTTGAAATGATAAAAATAGCTTTTAGCAAGCAAAGATTTTTGTAAACATAAAACAAACTGAGTGAAATAAGTAATTTTTTTCTTTTTCTATAACGAGTGAAATAAATAAGCAAGAAAATCTTTTTAAAGGCTTATGTGAACCAATGCTCCAATAAAATAATATTTGATACCGGTGGAGTGTGGAGACTGATAATCAAGAACTTCTATAGTGTCTTCTATAAGGTAAAAGTGAACCCATAAATAGAACATCTCCTGTGATTAATCCTCCACAGATAGGGGAACATTAAACATCCACGGCAGGAAATTGATAACCACCAAACAGCACAACCAAAGATGACTAGCTTACCTTTAGTGGTGAAGAAGGAAATGGAATATCTGATGTACCACTCTTTGATTTTGCAGAACGACTTCTAAGAAATAGGTTATCCATCATATTCCCCATGATTCTTTGACCTATCGTTTGAATTCGTTGGAGACTAGCAGCTTCAGCAGATTTCTGAGCTTTATCTGATGGTGAGGGAATACCTACATAACAACAATGTACACATAAGGTTTACTAATGAATGGATTGGGCTGTTTCAACAATAGCACAAGGCTCTTCCCTTCACTCATAGTATGAAGGAAAACAGGGCATCAGAATAATACCAGAGGAGAATTTAACTTTTTTAAAAAGTTTGTAAGAGTTATGCAAACTGATTCCGAATATAAATGGTATAAACTGATGACAGATACAACTCAGCAGCTAACCTTCAGATCCATTTGGGTTAGATTGTAACCCAGATTCTTGATTGTGATCTTGTGAAAGAGATGCATTAGTATCTCTTTTGCTGCTATTAATGCCTGAACTTGAGGATGGAAACGGTGAAATGTTCCCATTATCAGTAGAATCAAACTGCTGGACCTCACCACCTGTACGAGCCTTTAAATCTCCTGTTAAAATTGAGGGGTTCATTGGATTCTCTAGGACCGACACATTGAGTAGCTCAAGTGGTTGTGTTGTGTACGATGCATCTCTGGTGATAGGAAAAAGTAACGAAAATACATATAAATAACAATAAAAATTCCAATTGTTACGTATAACTAACAAATATTAATTCTAATTGTCAAAAAATTATGAACTATTATCAAACCATAATACATACAGACCTTATGCTCTTCAACAACATATCCCAGTCACTCTTGTTAAATGTAATATGAGAAAATGGAGAAATTGTTTTTCATATTCATACATCAGATAAATTTACAATCTGTTCACATATATATACAAACTTCCAATCTAACTACCTAACTAACTCAAAACTGCTTCTAACTAATTAGTAACAGAAAACTAATTACAAACTCAACACTCCCCTCAAGTTGGATGTTGAAAAACATTTTCAACTCCTAACTTGGATAGTAGATAACTATGTTGCTGACTTCCCAAAGCTTTTGTCAAGATGTCTGCAAGTTGTTCATGTGTTGAAACATGTTTTGTTTGAATCATCCCTTCCTGTATTTTTTCTCTCACGAAATGATAGTTGATTTCAATGTGCTTTTTCCTTTCATTATACACAGGATTAGTAGCTATTTGAAGTGCAACTCTGTTGTCACAATAAAGTTTTACAGGTTTCAGGCCTTTTATGCTAAGCTCTGCAAGTAAGCCTTGCAACCATACCAGCTCAGAAGTAACTACTATCATAGCCCTATACTCTGCTTCTGCTGAAGACCTTGCTACAACATTTTGCTTCTTTGATTTCCATGAAACCAGTGAATCACCAATCTTAATGCAAAAACTTATCACTGATTTTCTTGTCATTGGGCACGATCCCCAATCTGAATAACAATAAGCTAAAATTTGACAATCTGAAGAAGATTTTAACAAGACTCCTTGTCTTGGTTCATTCTTGACATACTTAACTACTCTTAGGGCTGCCTCCATATGAGATCTCTTAGGTTGCTGCATGAATTGACTGAGAAAATTCACTGCATATGTAATATCAGGCCTTGTATATGTCAAATAAATCAACCTCCCAATAAGTCTTTGATAAACTGACTTTTCAACTAGATTATATTCATCTTTAGTATCTTGCTGCACAATTTTATCATTATCCAAAGTAGTCAACTTCATATTCTGTTCTAAAGGAGTAGCAACAGACTTGGCTTCCTCCAAACCAGTATATTTGATTAACTGAAGTGCATACTTCCTTTGATTCAAAAGTATGCCTTTCTTTGATCTCAATACCTCAATACCCAAGAAATACTTTAGCTCACCCAAATCCTTCATTTTAAAATGACTATTCAACATTTTCTTTAATTCAGTAATCAATTCATTACTATCACCTGTGATTACCAAATCATCAACATAGACTAATAACAAGGCCATTTTACCTTGTTGCCTCTTGATGAACAAGGAGTAGTCATACTTGCTCTGAACGTAGCCACTTGAAACCAATGTTTATGTTAGTTTCAGATTCCACTGCCTGGAGGCTTGCTTAAGGCCATACAATGATTTTTGCAGTCTATCAAGTACACAAGATCAATCATGCATTTAAGGTCTGACAGAATATGGTCAGTTGCTCTATAATTCAGGATCCATTCTATTGAATTATGAGCAAAATAGCAGAAGGTACCTGCCAAATTCGCAGAGGAATCTGGACTAGAATGTTGAGTTCAAGCCTGATTCAGAAGCCCCAAAAGTTGTTGATATTGTTCAGACGTGAAGACTGGTGGAGCTGGAGAAACCAACTCACGATCAGAGTGAGATACCATGGCAGCTTGGGAGCCCTTTTTCTTGTTGAACTTGAAGTCAGGTGGAAAACCAATAAGGCGATAGCAATTCTCCTTCTTGTGGCCCTTCACCTTACAGTGTTCACAGGTTCCAGTGAACCTTCGACGATTGCCAGAAGCATTGGAGTACAACGTTGTAGAATCTATGAGAGGGACAACACCAGACAACTGAAGTTAGGCACTGTTGACTGAAGGTAAGGGTTGCATCAACAATAACTGACTTCGAATGGCAGTATATGAATCATTCAACCCCATCAAGAACTGGAACAACCTTTGATGAGAAACATGCCTCGAATTGGACTGAGCATTTTCGTAGGTACAACTCGAATAAGGTACCAATGCATCATACTCGTCCCACAAGAGTTTCAACCGCGAGAAATACGTAGAAATGGAAAGCTCACCTTGAACCATCGTCGCAATCTCACGATGAAGGAAAAACACTCAGGAACCATCTACCTTATCGAAGCGTTCCTTAAGATCTACCCAAACTGACGCTGCGCTTGACGCAAAAACAATTCCAACAGACAATTCCTTGCTCACGGAATTGATGATCCATGAAAACACAAGGGCGTTGCATCTATCCCATTGAGCTAGGAGAGGGGGTTGAAAATCATTACGACAATAACCTCCATCGATGAACCCTAATTTATTCTTGGTAAGGAGCACGATTCGCATCGATCGACTCCATATGGTGTAGTTGTCTGGTCCAGACAGTTGATGCGAAATCAAAATCGTGCATGGAGTATCCGAAGGATGGAGATACAACGGGTGATTAAAATCAACGAGCGTGGATTCGGTCGTCGGAATCGTCGTTGGTGGCATCGTAACAAACTCGGTGATGGTGTAAACGGAGTGGCTTCATAAATGAGGAAATAAAAGAAAAAAGAACCAGCCCAAGAAGGAAAAGGCCCAGTAGAATCGGACTAGCCTGATACCATGTTAAATGTAATATGAGAAAATGGAGAAATTGTTTTTCATATCTATACGTCAGATAAATTTACAATCTGTTCACACACATACACACACACACATATATATATATACAAACTTCCAATCTAACCACCTAACTAACTCAAAACTATTTCTAACTAATTAGTAACAGAAAACTAATTACAAACTCAACAATTCTCACTGAATTGGTGTCCACCAACCTCTATGAGATGCACCAACGCACCAAGAGATGCACCAACAACATTTACCTGACTGGTTTTGTGTCGTGTTGTCCTTGTTTTACCGGGTATGATGTACTTTTTTCCTCCATTTAGGTTTAGGGATGTTTTGAACAAGACATTTTATTTGACTTGTTCTTATGTTTATTCTAATAAAAATTATATTTGCCGAGAGAAAAATGTCGTTGTAATTTTTAATTTTTCTTTTTTAATAAACAAACTGTTATCATTTGCATTAAAAAAAGTACAGGAAAAGTGATACATGATGTAGAATCTTTATCGTATTCAGTGACCTTAAATGGAGAATCAAACGATCGTGTATTACTTTATTTAGGACTTAGTCAAGCGGATCTGTTGAGCTCATCTCTTTTTAACATGTAGCAAGGGTTTGTGAGGATTACTTCGTTGGGTAGTCTTGGATGGTTAGGGGTGTTCATTATTCGGTTTTAACCGAATTAATCGATCGAAACGAATTAGTTCAATTAATTCGATCGAGAAACGGTTACTTTTTTAAATATTCATACGGTTAATTTGATTCGAATCAATTGATTAATCGAAATTATTATATATATATATATACATATATTAAATACATATTTTAAGCTAAAACGCATTAAGAATTAAGATCAAGTTATATTTTAACCACAATAAGCTCATTAAATTGTTAATACCTAATTAAATTTTAACCCAGAAAAAAAATACTTCTATTAAAGTCAATTAATCTAATTAAAAATTATTAAAAAAATCGGTTAATCAGGTTAACCGAGTGAAATAATCAAACTTTATTATGTTTGGTTAATATTTTTTAAAAAAAAGTTCGATTCAATTAATGGTTAAAGAAAAAAGTTTAACTGATTTGGTTTATAAAAAATTGATTTGATCAGTGACTGAATTAACCGTTTGAATATCTCTATCGTACTATTGGGGGAGCATATATCAACAAGTATGCTCCTATGGTAAATCGTCCCTTTTTTAGTAAAACAGAGATGGTCGGTTTGAACTTCATGGATGCCTCATGGAGGATCCGTAAAAGGGCCTTTTGAAAAAAAGATTGAAATGAGGAGTAGCATATGGGAGATTGACTCCCCCCACCATTGTTGGACTGCATCAAGAAATGTTAATGATCCTATGTGGTGGAACCCAAACCTATTGGATGAAAAATCACCCCACCAATTGAATTAGCACACATACTATTCGGTTGACTCTTCAATTTAGCCACATATTTTCTTCTTACACTTATTTTTTTTAGATAATTCAAATTTGTATTGCTCGAAAGAATCACAATTCTGCTAAAGTACAATCATCAACATAGTTCAACATTCAACTATACAAAAGAAAATGATCGGTTAGACAATACCCCAATAATCACAAAGAGTGAGGTTTATACTATCAATTATGTTGATTTGTTTCCCTTTCAATTGTATTCCTACGCTTTCCTTAATGACTTTGAGGAGATCCTCGGTTGTTTTTGCGCTACCTCGAAACATTCTTCGGTTTCTTTCCTCCCATAGAGTATATATATAAGCATACCAAGCAATTTTTAATATTGTTGTGAGAAGCGATTTACCTTTCCAAGCATTACATGCCCATCTTTCCATGTCTTCCCATGACGAAGTAGAAATTCTCAACCCATTAAGGTTCATTATAGAATCCCATAAGGAAATAGTCATTGGACATAGTAAGAACAGATGGTCCCTTGTTTCCATAGCATTAGAGCATAAAATACAGTCCCCTTCGCTTCGCTTACACTTATTTTTCTGGAAAGAATATAAAACAAAAACAAAATTAAGATTGAAGAGTGAAAAGAGGGTTTCTTTTTTTCTTTTCTTTTTGGTGAAATGCATGACTACAAACGGTAATACAAAAATATTAATACGAGTCTCGTTAAAAATCTCCATGACCCTGAATAGAGAAAAAGAATACTCATACCAATAAAATACAATGAATCGATCCAAAGAGTCTTTCGTTAACAAAAGAAATCATCAAACAGGAGGATCAGCATGAAAAATAATCTCATGAAAAACATTTGATGTGCTTCAAAAAACCAACCGCTCATTTTTTTCATACCATACAAATGAGCCTAGAAACAAAGGCAAAACAGTTGCAGCCATGTCACTAATGAAGATTCTTGATTATCTATCAACAACCGCTCATTTTTTTTCCTACTTTCCTTTTTCCATTTTCACGATTCGTATTCCATTATTAAACTTATTTCTAAAGTATGAAAGAGCGACCTGCACAAAGGAAAAAACTTTAAATAAAATGAACCATGTGCGGTCCAAAGATAACCGTATAAAAAATTAGGTAAATTACACGTTTAGTATTTTGACTATCACTTTTATTTTGTTTTGATCACTGAACTATTTTATATTTCAAAATTATACCTATAGTATTGTTTTGGTAATGCCATGTCGTTATTTATTTTTTAAAATATAACGTCTATGGTTCTTTAATTTTCTAACAAGTCAGTGACCAAAATGAAAATAAAACGTAATGTTATGCATGATTTAAAAATAATAATAGTTAAAAGATTAAAACATAGCAAAAATAATAGTTAGAATATTAAATGTGTAGTTTACCCAAAAAATTAATGGCAGTGATAACTACCACTTAGACTAGAGACTTAAAAAGATAGGCAATCAAAGGCTTCATTGAACTAAAGTTATTGACCAGTTCTTCCACTCACTGGAAAGTAGAAAGCTCCTTTAAAAAATAAAGTATAGGTATACACAACCCATACAGTTTTATAATTTCACATGGTATTTTTGCTCAAGAGATGATAGGCACTTAATGAAAACAAAAATTAAAATTAAGACGTATTCATTTATATATATACACACCACTATTAAAAGGGTCAAGCTTCTAGAGTTTAGACCACTTGACCACTCCAAATAACAAAATTGACCCTTTTCGCTAAGCTGAAACTATCGACTGACTACTAAAATATACAATAACCATTGCTCCAAGCTCCATCTCAATGATTAATTGAGAAAACAATATGTAAAGGAAGAAGACGAAGAAGATGTAGAGAATAGGTAAATGGCGTGGATCAAGGGAGAAGATCGTCCCCAAATAGGTAAAGAAGTCGCTCGACGGCCCAGCTGGGTTCATTCTTAGGCCACACCAAGCATTGTGAAGAAGTGAGCAAAGGGGCCCTGCAAAGGGGGCAAGTCTTGTGATTGTCGTCGTCTTCTTGAACGTGATCGTGGTCTTGATCTTCATCGTAGTCAACCCATCTGTCAATGCAATCTCTATGGAACACGTGGCAACAATTCCTCAACTCTCTGACCTCGTCGCCTTCCTTCAGCTGACTCAAGCAGACCGCACACGTGTCGGAAACCCAAGGCATCCTTTCCTTAGCATCTTCAAAGTTCGTCAGCGCCAGACTGTCTCTAATCATTTGCGAAGAAACAGAGGAAGATGAAGAAGAAGAGTTGTCCTGGGAGTCGGAAGATAAAACGATACTAAATAGGCTCATGTCTTTGAAACTAAGTAGCCAAGACAAGACCCATCTTAAAACTGCTAAAACAACAGCTGTTTTGTAAAGGAGGTGGGTGACGATTAACCCCGGATCTTCTACAAAGAAACTCATTGGAAATTTTGAAAGAAAAAAGAAGAATGAAGGGGAAGAGAATTGAAAGTAATTTCTCAAGAGAATGGAAGGGAAAGGAAAAGGGGGGGGGATTTGAGGAGCATCTTGGGGAGTTATATAAAAGGAGGGGGGAAGCCCAAGTGGGGAGAGATGGTGGATTGCTTTGTTGGAATCTTGTCGGTGTGCGAGTAAAGCTTTTGAAGAAAGGAAAGATAGAGACGGGAGGGAGGTTGGAGGGTGCCAAGTGAGTGATTACGCCACCATTCGCGTGCAATCGTGTAAGTCACAGCTCACAAGGACGGTGGTCGATAATCTCAAGTATCTTTCATTATTTTTGGGGGGGTATTTAATTGGAAATATTAATCGCACTAAGGAAAAGGAAAAAAAAACTAGGAGATAACACATGGATTAAATTTTATATATATATAATGGTCCGTTATATACTTTTTAGAAATGATCATACAATTCAGTTGATAGAGCACAAGGTTCTTAATTTTGTGGTTGTGAGATCGAGTCCCACGGAGGATATTTCATAATTTGGAGGTCTCTTACGGAAGCTGCTCTCAACATGATGTTAGGGTAGTCTACTATCTTACCTCCCCCTTACTTCATACATATAGAAAAAAGGGACAACCATTTTCCGTTATATATTTTTTAAATTTTAACTGCATTCGTTTAAAGTTATCGGGTTCTAAAAATATTTAAAGTGAAGCAACTGGATCGGATCATGAGATTGTGGTCCTGTGGATGTATTGAGTGAATATGGTGTTTGCTTCGTAAGCAACTTGGTAATGGAAATACGTCAAAAGGCTGCCTAGCACTAAAATCGCTGCTGCAATGTTCAATTTTTCTTAAACAGTAAGATAAAAAGAGAAATTTAAACTTCTGGGCATTTATTAGAAATCGCATTGTCAATCTAAATTAAGGAGTAAATTCCACTATATCATATATAAACGTAATTCAATAATTTAATGTTATATATAAAAAATTATTTGCTTCTAGACATTTATATTTAAGAATACTTAATGGAGTATAAGAAATTGATGGAATTTTATATTTGGTGTCAACTTTCGCGATAAAATGTAGGAACACATATTGTATAACTCTTCCTACTGATGAAGTATCAAAGCACGTATACAGAAAAACCTTTGTACTATGAGATTCCGTAGAGGTTAAGATCATGCAGTACATTAGGCTAAAACCGGACCCATCTTGTAGGTTAATTGAAATGCTTTTCTCCTGCATGTGCTGCCCCGTTTCTGCCATTGCCCGAAGGCCTGCAGCATTCCAATCAACTGTAGAGAAAGGGTAAAAAAGAGAGAAGAAAATAAAGCAAGGGCAATGGGGGAATAATGACCTATTTTAATCATCATCACACATCATTCATTAAGTCAATAGCATAATAATTTCAGAATGTTAGGTAGAAGAGAAGGAAAATATCATCCCATATATGCATGTAAAAACAAACAAGATTACTTTGATTTCTCACTGACACGTCAGAAATGGCCCCCGCATCGAACGTGGGTTTCCACGATCCAAGTCAGATCCCACTCAGCTCCATGTCAATGAGCGAAAAAGAAAACTTATTAAAGGATGTATGAAATAACTTGTACATCGATGGTTTTGACTTTGAGGTAACAAAAGAAGGTTTGTTACCTAAAGCTAAAAGCCATTGAAGAGGAGATGTATAAGGTACATCAATTTTAATATATAATTAAATAAAGTCGTTATTAGAAATATTAATAATTTTTTAATATTTTAGTAAAACGTTACTTAAAATATTTTTTCTGCCGGAAATATTAATATTAGACGCTACCTATAATGTTTAACATTTCCGGTAAAACGTTACCTAAAACATTATTTTTTCTAAAAAAAAAATGTTAATATTGGGCGCTACTTAAAATGTTGATTTTTTACCGGAAATTAGGTAGCGAAATTAACATTTATGGTAAAAGAGATAATGTTTTAGGTAGCGCTTTACCGAAAATATTAAAAAATATTAATATTTTCGATAGGATATTTCTTTAGTCTTATATTAAGACTGTCGTACAACAGAACTATCCCATCATTAAACTTTATCATCTCTTTTATTTTACTCATTATACTTTGAATTCTTTCAATTTCTTCACTGAATTTAATACAATTAGCATTTTTGTCACTCAACCGTTAAATATTTAACGGCGTTAAAATGATATTGTTTTAGAAAAACAAAAATTTCACCAAAACGACATCGTTTTGTATTTATATAACAGTTTATTTATAACGTCGTTTAGTGAGAAAACGGATGAGTGACCAAAAATATTAATTATGTTAAATTTAGTGAAGAAATTGAACGAATTTAAAGTACATCAAGTAAAATATGAGAAAATAAAATTAAATGATAATTGGTGTAATTTACCGATAGTGTTTTTATTTCAACGTTGGCAAACTTATGATTGAGAAGATTTTGTTGAAAAGAGTGCAAAACATAAAGAAAGATGTAAAACGGACTAGTTTATCAAGGCCCGCGTTATGTTTATTTTCATATTTAATATAAAAATAAGTGTTTAAAAAATGTTTTAATGTTTTGAGAAATGTTTTAATATTTTAAATTTTTTTGTAAAAAGTATATACCTAAAGTTTCTACTTTATATTTTAAGGTGTTAACCGTTAAAAAAATCGTTAAGTGACATGTTATGTACAATTTTTTTAAAAATAAAATATTATTTTAGTGATGATTTTTGTAATTTACCGTTAGTATTTTTATTTCAACGTTGGCAAACTTATGATTGAGAAGATTTTGTTCAAAAGAGTGCAAAACCTAAAGAAAGATGTAAAACAGAATAGTTTATCAACCGACCACGTTATGTTTATTTTTAACTTAATACAAAAATAAGTGTCTAAAGAATCTATCGATAAATATTTTAATATCTAAAAATAAGTGTTTAAAGTTTTTCCTGTTACACTTTTAGGTGCATACCGTTAAAAATATCGTTAAGTGACACGTGTCGTGTCCAATTTTTTTAAAAAAATAAAATATTATTTTAAATATTATTTTAAAAAAATCTGAACGTTATACGTGTTACTTAACGGTTTTTTTTAACGGTAGACACCTAAAAATGTAACGAATCTATTTTTAGCAAAAAAATCTTTAGACACCAAAAGTTAATTTTAAGTACAGTTTAGATACTTATTTTTATATTAAGTATTATTTTTGCTAGACCACATTATGATTTACCAGAATTGCATTATTGTACTAACAAGGTGACCCATCATATTCTCTCTATCATTCGTTATTTGCTACCATAACAGTAACAAACCTAACGAGTTTGGTATTTTTCATTGGAAACTTTTTATTACTGACTAGCAAACACTGTCTGGATCGAGCTTCTGTCGTGTGTCATGTCTCACGGTTTGTCTACCAGATATAAATCATAAAATCGCGTACACTTGCAGCATTATACTTATAATTTCTTGTTGAAGCTGACGGCATGAAGCATTATGAGAAATAATTTGTTGTTGAAGGTGACGAGTCGAGCTCATTCATGTCGACTAACAGGGTAAAACTGCCCATCTTCCTTCACGTTTGCTTGTCTATTTGATTTCTCATATAATGATCCCCTTCAATCAAATCGTTGTTTGCCTGTTGTTTTGCTCGATTCCTTTGGCGGACTGCTTTGTCATGCGTTAAGCCGACTGTCATTGGGTTCTTTTAGGGTCCTTCTGGATTTAACTTAAGTATCTAACCCACTTGTCGGCGCGTTTAGCACTGATTTTGGTGCAATCGCACTTCAATACATACTGCCTTTGGGCAACAATACTGGGAAATTAAAACATGAGACTTTCCCATACATTTAAGCCTATATTTGGATGAGTTTATGGCAAAATAATTTAATTGGCTCGAACCATAATAAATACTTAAAGTACATTGAAAATTTTGAAACTATAAAATGAAATCGTTAGACTAGATAACTAAAAAATGTAATTAAATATTAAAACAACCATTTTGTGATAAAAAATGAAAATGGTAACCCATTAAATACCTTTCCAACGATTTTCCTTCCCAGTATAGGATGTATGCACTTACTCCCTTTGTGCATTACCAGGTACCAACAAATTATATCATCTTTTCATCTAAGTACCTAAAATATTTTTTCTCTTAAAACGGGTGGTACCAATAAGCGGGTATTTTATGAAATTTGAATAGTGAGCATAGTAATGAACAATATACCAAGTAAGGTTCTAAGAGAGGTGGCACACTAGGCACGCTTAGATAGCAGGTCTTCATAAAACCAATCCCAAACATGCACTTTCATACTTATCACAATATTTTCCAATAAATCATTTATAGATTTTCTCTTTGTTAAGGTCTCTTAAGGAATTATGTTTGATACTTTTATTTACAATAATATCTTATTAAGCATACACATTTTGGTCTCATTAATGCTTTAGTCTTATTCTTAGTCATTTTACAAGTGGTTTATCTCAGTCCATTATGTATCCACCAAGTTTTAAAGACAAACTTAAAGGCTTATTTGAACTGATTTATGTATTTATAAAGCATGAATTAACAAGCAACAAGTCTAAATAATCTGACCTCACATGTAGAATCATAATTTTCAAATAGACTTATCCGTTCTCACAATGCCTGCAACTTCAATCTTTGCATCATCTTCTCTAAAAAGGTATGAAATCTAACATGATAATAACTTCATTTGAATTACATATATCTTGAATATGTTAATTTTGCAACCCAAATGATGATTTTACACTGTTTGTCTCAAAAATGATTTACTAGCAATAATAGGTAATTAGTAGTAATAAATTCTTATCTTTTTAATCATGTCTGCTCATTTCAGTTTTATCAGTTCTACCTTCAACTCAAAATGATATTTGACAGATAAATTTCTAATGGTCATGTTATCTTTATAAAATTCTCAAAAAGGAATTATTAGTACGATAAAAATAATTCACAATTATTTTTACCTTAATTTTCAAGAACTATATAATCTTACCCTCCACATGAAAATAAACGATTTCATATCTCCACATGAACCAACTATCACTATACATAAATTGGTTAGTATTTATAGTTACGAAAGTAGTGAAAGCAATACATATATTGAAAATAACCATATTTTCAATAAATATTAAGCAATAAATAATTGTATCACAATTTGCTTTTATTATCAACATTTGACTAATATATAGTAATA